CTTATGAATCTTCTTGTTTTCAATCCCCTTTTAGTCAATCACCTTTTTCTTTGTTGTTGCTTGAAACTTTCCTCTCTTCCTAAAAGCCTTCTTCTTTCATTTGTGTTTGAAGGTTCTTCATCGTAAAACCGAAACTATTATATAACTATTTTGAGTTTTTATTTATGTTTTTCACGCTGTTTAACTTTATTCCCATATAGCACATAGCACAAAGTTAAACCTCTCTTATTTTTGATTAATTTTCCATGGCCATCTAAATCTGAAAGATTCAAAATAGCGTATCGGTCAAATGCATTCTGTTTAAAATAACACACTGCATTCATATTTAATTTCACATTGCTTTAGAAAATAAATAAACTTGCATTAATGTAATGTATAATAGAGTATTTTCACTACTTGTCCACTTGGATACATTTCCTGTAAAAAAATTTTTAATAAGACTTTTCCTTTCCGCCTCTGAATAAATTCGCTAAATGTACACTACAATTAAAGAATTTGTATCTTTAAAGAAACTCTGTGGTATTATTAACTCTTAAAAAATACTAGATATCTACAATTTGCAAAACCTTTTAGCATGATTTATTTGTAAAAATAATAATTTATGATTCTTCATTTTTACATTTTTTCTAAAATAATAAAAAATAATATGTTTCATTATTGATGTTTCAAGACTAAAAAAAAGCATAGATAACGTTTTAATTTAATGGTCTTAAAAGTGTGCTTGTCTTTCGAAAGCATATTTAACTAAGAGTATAAAGAGATTCACCCTTGCACTGAACTGTTGCATAGATGAATTCTGAATGAAATTATGTTAACGCTCCATTTTCTTTAAAAATTTGTGATACTTACCATAGAATATGAATATTTAAATTTAAAAATAAGCATTTGTGATTATAAAAGATTACTTGAATTATGACTTAATAAATACCAGTTATGTGCACCTATTGCTTCATATAAAAACAATTATATTTAAATTTTCATAAGAGTTCTAATAATTTTTGCAAAAATTATTTTTTAATTACAATTTTTTTATAGTTTAATTTGTACGTTTATACTATTTGCATTTTAGCTCTCCATATTTGTCCGAAATCTAATATTATACGACATTTTCATGTTCTAGACAGCGGCTCCCAATTTTTTCCGGTCATGGAATACTAAATGATCAACTTTCATTTGGTGGAATCCCGAATTGATGTATAAAGTTCATTAGCAACTGTAAACCTAAACGAAGGAATTCTACTATGCATTTTGAAACTATTAATGTTAATTTTTTCGTACTTTTATCAATAATAGTCATAATTAGATTTCATGTTAGACAGTTGAATTCACAAGTCTGGAGCGTCATGTAGTCTAGCTCTGAATTTGTTCTTTGAGTATGCGTAGCAAAAATGAAAAAAAAAAAGCTAATTATGGTTTTTGTGAATTATGAACGTGGAATGAATTGTTTAAATAGTTGAATTTTGTTATTCTCTGTGAATTGAAAAGTTAGATATGAAATAGTGAAATTTTGCATAAATGCTAAGCTTTTTCATAATTTATTCAATACAAATCATTGTATCACAGGTTTACATTGTTATCAGAAAAAAATATTTTTTAAAATAACACTTTTTTATCACTGAAATTTTGCGTAAATAATTTCATAAAACTGACCAAAATATTAAGTAAATAATGGATTTTGATTGTATATAAATATTATAACCTGTTTCAAAAACCATTACTGCTTTTTTTAAAGGAAAAAAAACTTTTAACTTTTGAAGCCCCTGTGAACCTCCCACGGAACCCTAGGGATCCGAGGAACACATTTTGGAAACCATTGAAAACACAATCGCATTTATACTGAGCATTTTGATACATTTTAATGTAAAGCAAGAGCAAAAAAACTTTTAGCTTAATTTCTAACAGATTTATTGCGGAATTAACACTAAATCGCAAACAAATTTGCACGGATCATCATCTATCAATCAACGGATGGAGCGGTTGAAAACTGATTCACATTTTTACAGTTATCAACGACCTGTTACTCTTCAGATAGACGTTATTTATTTTATTTTTTATGCACTTACACATCTTTTGAAGCCTCTTTCCGGATGCCTATTTTTAGTTCTTTTCGTTGTTTGCATTAGGATATTAAAAAAAAGTTCCTCGAGATAAGAGTTCCGATTTTAAGAGTTCGGAAGGACTGAGAAGAGATAGATTTGTTTAACTATAAACAAATTCAGATTACTTGTGTTGTTATGAATATTTCAAGACTGGCTTAGTATCAGCTTGTATTATTTATGCTATAATTATTAGCAAGATAAGCTTGAAAGTATTTACAGTATTAATGACATCACTCCTCATCCATACTAAAAAATTGTTACAACACACTTGCTTCGAAAAGAAAATATTAAAAATCTATTATTCCTATAGCTTTTTGTTGATTCTGATGAGCCCAAGGCATAAGGAGCCGACTTAACTTTCAGGCCTACGTGTAAGATTAAGCAGATTTGATTTGCTCAAAATTTTTATTATTATTATTAACACGTTATCATGTAAAAATAAACTTCTAAATAAATAAATTTATTTTTTGTAGTACTAAAATTGCTTCTTCAAAATAAGGTAATTTGCTTTAACAATATTTAAGTGAGAAAATTTAAGCGAATGTTAAGAATTGTATTTAAGTGAAAGTAGAAAAATAAAAACGCTATCTAATGAAACGCTCAAGTCTAATGAATCATTATCGAAGTTTAGAAAAGAAAAAGAAGTATTCAAAACAATAAAAATCAGCTTGGATAGAATTTGATATATTCTACGTTCACTCTAATTTAAAAATGATTTATCAGATTTTGGAGGCTTTCTAATTTTTTCCACGCTTAAACATTATTTTGAAACACATATTTCTTCATCTTTTAGAAGAATTCCAAATTTATCTAAGAGCTGTAAATATGTTACCTTCCATATAAGTTCTAAAGCAATTAAATGTAATTCTATCTCATGCAAGTCATTTTTGCTTTAGAAATATATTTATGTCCCTAATGAATAAATACAATAATAAAATTTCAGCGCTGAAATATTCGCCGTCTGCTCTTACGAATATTCGTTTTGATTATTTCATTTTTCAGAACAGGCATACGCTAAATCAAAATAAATCGCTCTTTTCTTCTTCTTCTTCTGCACTACAGCCCGGGACAGGCCAAGGGCGTCTCAGTGAGTTTTCGCCATCTTGCCCTGTTAATCACCATTGTCCTCTATCTTCGATCACCGATCGAGGTCTTTTTCAACTCTGTGTAGGCACCTAATGGGTGGTCGGCCTCTCTTACGGGATTTATTTGGTTTCGAAAAAGTCGCTTTCTTCGTTAGTTTATTGTCATCCTATCTGTAGAGGTGTCATAACCATCTAATGCTATCAGCTTTAATGGCATGGATGATATCTGACTGCTTAAAGAATTTCTTGTAAATCATAAATTGTTTTATCCATGCATATTTGGGTAACTCTTTATCAAAACGAAGGGTAATTTCTTCTAGTTTCAATCTGAACAAGCCAACCAAGAGAGCCAACTAGAAAGTTACTTGATTTTTTTAGACAGAAGAACAGAAGATATATTGAACATTTTTACACAATAATATTATTTAAATTTTAATCATTGCGGCCATTTAGTTAGTTCTAAAAAAGCTATCTCTTTGCGTCTCCATATCAAACCTTCTAGCTTCAGCAACATTGCCCTGAATGTTTTGATACTATGACACTTGATGCTTTGTGGCTGCGCATTGATTTAATATATTAAGTGAAAAAATGATATTTCGTATTAAAAATATTGATTGGAGAGCTCAGCAGAATAGTTTTGATTTCGACTAAAGCAAATTCGATGATTGAAATAAAATAAAATAAATCATGTAACATTCGTATGAAAGAAAAAAATATCCAGAGTAAGTAATTAATTTTACCTGCATTAAAAACCATCGCGTGAATAAAAACATCGCACCATTTATCAATATTACGTTTTGATTATTAATGTTTCGTGTTGGTCAAATTTCATTTATTGAACCAAGAGACGAATATTCGCCAAAAATGGATGGAAACTGCCTAAAAGATTTAATTTTTTTAAAAGTGATATTATAATAATTTCTGAGTAATATTTTGGGGTCGGAAAATTGAGAAATCACATGAGTTACTAAAAAGCAGAATTTTTTCTACTTGATTAGATTTGACTGACGGAAAAGATAATTAATTCCAATTTCTATAAAAAAATACAGTACTGGGTATTGAAGGACATCTGACCATCGGACAAACGAATACAAACAGTATAGTGTAGAAGCATGACGTGATAATAGACCGAATAACAAAGATATTTTATTATGAAAGTGAAATTAGAAATAAATAAATAAAAAGCTTACTGAATAGAAAATTTAGAGTGTTGAATGTTATTCAGTAAAAACCTCGAATACTACCCGAGAGGGGTGAGGATATTGCCTCCCTGCTAGCTTCTCCCCTGTTCTACAATTCAAACAAAGTTATATTTCAGGAAACAAAATTATAGCACTAATTGTATTGCAATAATAGCATGATTCTCTTTCAAATTTTTATATCAATTCAAGTAATTAATGTTTTTTTCTTCATTTATAAACAATTTAGCTCATTGTCCCACCAAATGACATAGTTTCAATCTATTCTTGAATTTTATTATTTGCAAAAATGTAATGAAAGTAATTTTCTTTGGTAGAAGAACTATTAGAAATTTGTAAAGAAAAATTGATCATAGAGAAAAAAAAATTTGAAAAAAAGAAACGGAATCAACTACGGTACGATTGCCACCCACGCACCGTTTTTGAGAGTTTATTTCGTAGTTTGTTTAACTGAAATTGGAATTAGTTTTGATTTTAGCGAATCATTGTCTTTTTCATTTCTAATGTAATAAAAAATATGTAAACGTATTGCGCCGAGACTTCACAAGTAATATTTACTGAAGCAGTTAAAATCCATTTGCCGAACCGCCAACCGCAAACTTGCAAGCTTTGTTTATTTTTTCATTTAGAGTTCCTTTTTCTCCTCAGAATTTCGCCGTGACGCACGTGGTTAAAGACGCGTGCTAATAATTTATAATTCTGTTACTTACGGAATAATTATGATCTGTAAAAACCTTTTACATCTATGTCTTTTAAACGTTTCACGATGTTTCACTGTTACATGACGTAAATTGTTTCCATATATTTTTTAAAATAACTTCGAATTATCATCATTCATTGGTTAGTACTTTTAAATTTATTAAATATTTTTTCTTCGTTTTTAATTATCTTTAAATTAATCTTCGATTTAACTATTATAGTTATTGTATTTCTGTGATGTTATTTAAACTGTATTGCGTTATATTATTATCTCTTCATTGATTTATATCAAATTTGACTTGGCGCGGCACGTTTTTCAATGTGTGAAATTTGTTACGCGATTCATGTTTACTTCCAGTATTAAACATTTCTCAACACTCACATTCAATGTAAGTTTTCTTTAAATAGAGTCTAATTGTGTTCAAACTTTTTACTAGTTATTTCCGTAATATGTATTATGCTAGTCAGATTATTCAATTATATATACATAAAAAAATATAATTTATATATATATATTTTTAAAAATATATAAAAACATATGTTACGCTCAAATTTATTATGACCGGAATATTGGTATTAATTGATTGTGCTGTTTGAATAATAAGTCTAATGTCTGGTTATTTAAATTATGTTTTCTTTTACTATCTGTGGCATATTTAAAAGTAAACAAGTTTATCAAGGATTTTTTTTCAAGTAATTGATAACATTATTCTTTATCGATAAAATAATTTCTTTTAAGAAGGTTAACAATACTGTAAACATCTAGAGATTTATACAACCATGTCTTGTTTACAATTATAATCTTATCTAACATTTTATAAGACATTTATTATTTTTCTCAATGAACTTCATTCAGTTGTGTGTAAAAAAAATGTTTTTATTAGATTTAATAAATGAAAAAGGAAGAAAAATTTTGGTTGAATAAATTTTTCAAAAAATTGGTTGATTTTTTTATTAAAACATATATCTTGATTTTGTCTGTGATATGTTTTTTTCTTTTTAAATCCTATTTGTTTACTTTGTATTATAGTTAAAATATACTTAGGTGTGTTTTGAATTTAACAAGCTTTTTTCTTGAGAAATACATTAAAAAAGTTGTTGAAAAATAAATGTTTTTAGAGTGATATTTTAAGTTTGTTATTCAAATTTTTAATTATGTTAATAATACATGTAGCTCTTTTTTAATAGTTTATTATTTGGGTAGTAATGTATCTGCAATAACTAAAGGATAATACTTGTCTATATATTATTCACTGCTCTATTTCCATGTCTTTCATTAGATATTTTTTTTTGAAAAAACAGTAAATTTAAATAAATATTATCTATGGATTGTGTTAAAACTTTTTAAAAAAATCTTAACAATTTTAATGAAATAAACTATTTTGTTGCAAAAATGCATAGCAAAACTGAAACAGTATACAACCCCTTTTCATTGTTTGCTAGTATGTGTGGAGTGGTCATTGATAATTTATTTCATAGTTTTCCTAGCTAAATTTTAGTGGTTCCAAACTATGAACAACCGCTACTTTAGAGTCCTGTGTTATTACTATGTCAATTATTATACCTTTCAGTAATCTCTTCACTCTGCACTGTTTACCCTTTTGAAATAGATTTTCAATTTTTAAAAAAGTTCAATTTTCAATTGATTTATTTTCTAGTAACTGTCTATGTTAAAAATATTATTATTTTTTTTTTATATATAAAATAGAGAATTTATACACATTTTGCTACATTAAATATTTCAATAACATTATTACTGCATATTGGAAACTGATGAGAACTACTAATGTACTAATACAAAACTGTGTTCAATTAACGGATTTACTTTAACTAAAATTTAAAAATTTTTTTATTTTTTTTTTTAAGAAGATTAAAATGGTTTTTTTTTATGATTTTTTATTGGTTTGTGTAATCTTTAAAATATACATTTGAACTCTCTTATTACGAGTTCAAGTTGAAAAAGATTAGGGTTTAATATATAAATGTTTAATTTAATGTGTTAAAACCTTGTTATTAAAAGTAATCTATATTATATAAAGCGCTAATACATATGTATCAATAAAACCGATGATATTTCTTTTCTCGCATTGGCAACAGTTTTCATTTTTAATTGCAAGAGCACATAGTGAGCATAATATGGCTAATCTATATTATATAAAACGCTAATATGTTTTAATTGATAGGCTTCGGCGTGCAAGAGCACGTAGTGAGCATATCATATGTCTAATCGCACTCACTGAATTATCAAAAAAATTCTCACAAAATTATCTTCATCGAAGCCGATGCTTTACATCCGGCGTTCAGTCCTATTTCATATTGTTTTACAACACATGGTTTTAGCCCTCTGGTGGGAAAGACTTTAAAACAAAACTTACAAAAGTTACTTTTCTCAACAACTGAAATTTAGAATAGTGTGAGTAAGAAAAATATGTGAGCTGTTTGCAATTTCAAATTAATATTGAAGTGCACAGGTTTAGAATTTTCTATAGTTAAAGTTTTCGGAACTTCAGTGTTCAAAAAAGTATACAAAAGCTATCCAATGCGCGAGCATCGGATTGCGAAGCAATCCGAAATGAACTGCGAAAGCAGTTCCTGGGATTGGCGAGCGCCAGCGAGCAGTGGGCAAAGCCTCCTAGTCTTTCTTTAATTTAATGAAAATCACTTTTGTAGCTGGTAGAAAATATGGAAGAATATGGCACACAATTTTCATTCCCTCTCAGACCTTTATCCCTCTATCATTAGTTCATTATGATCTAACCTAATTAGTTCGTGATCAAAGGTTGTATGTAGGAAAGTATGCAAAGAAAGAAATATAGTGAAAAGATTTCTCAAATATCTTGGTGTGAATCATGCAAACAAACCTCTTATCTCGTAAAGCGAACTAATTCTTATGATGTAAAATTAAAAACAAACTTGAACAAAAAACATAATTATATCAGTAGGAATAGTTTTTATTGATGCTAAATTTTATTCATTGATCCAGTTTTCAGGACGCCAAATCAAAGAGCATTTCTGAACCCAGAAAATCACAATAAAAATTAACGTAGTTTGTGAAAAATCATGTACTTTTGATAAGATTTGTAAGTTAATAAACTTAACCCCTAAGAACGACCTACCCCCATTAGCGACCATTTTACTTAGGAACAAAGAGTATTCGCTCCCAAGAGGTTTCATTGTAATTACCTTGGTACTCAGCATAAATGAGTTAGGCTATGTGTCATAGATAAAATTTTAATTTGTAAAAATGTGGGCAAATTTAAATTAATATTAATCTGTTAATTTTATTTTTCAGAAACCAGCATGGAGCCATTTTCTAGTGATGTGCTCTGGGTTCTCATATTAGGCTTCATAGTTGGATTTTTCCTAGCATTTGGTGTTGGTGCAAATGATGTTGCAAATTCATTTGGTACATCTGTTGGCTCTAAAGCTCTTTCATTGCGTCAGGCTTGCATTCTAGCTACCATATTTGAAGTATTAGGATCTGTACTTATGGGTATGTTTTTTTATTTTATTTATTTATTCCTTTTTGCTCTGATATATGTGTCAATGTCTTGTCTAGACAAATCTTAAATAATATTAATAGCAAATAGCATGAAATTTTTGTTTGCTTATTATTTTAAACAGGGCTCACACGGGTCAGAGAAAACCTGGAATTTTCGGGGAATTTTATTTTGACTCCAAAGATAAATTGTTGTAATTTTTTTTTAAATAACCTAGAAAATACCTATATTATATTTAGAAAGTAACCAGTCCTAGAGTTGTCAGTTACTGTAAACAGTTGTTAAGATTCAAAATAATTCTATAATGTAATGATAATTCTAACATGTATTGCAATTATTTGTTGTAGAATGCATGGATTTTAAGTCAAACTGACACATTTTTATCCTCGTGCAATGAAAGTGTGTGGTATCGATTAAATATCATCTGGATTTTCTTTGAAATTTACCTGATATACCTGGAAAAGTCAGAGAATTGTTTTTCTGAAATTGAGTGGAAACCCTGTTTAAAGAATGTTTAATTAAGTTGGTTGCACGAAATTTGAATGTTATAACAATAGCTGATTTTAAAAAAGTGGAGGCTTTCAAAACCATGTAGAAATGCATAGCAGTAACTGTGAAAGTAACCATTTCAAAATAATTTAGATTTGTGATAAAATCTACCCAAGTAAAGCCTGTCAAAAAATTATCTAAATGTGCGAGTGGAAACTGATGAGACATTATTTATAATATTGTGCTAAAAATATTGAAATTTTAAAGCACGTGGAAATTAATAGGAATTACTGCAGGGAAAAAAACAATCAAAAGTCATTAAGATTTTCACAGAATAAATGTTTATTTAAACACTTTAAAATTTGTAAGACATTAAAATGTATTAAAGATAATCCCAGTTTTAAAATCAACTTGGCTAACAACAGCAGCTAGAAAAATAATCGAAAAGTCACTTGGATTTATGATGAAGTAATGAAGGTTTAAAGTGATTACTTAAATTTATAATTCCCAAAGAAAGAAAAATTAAATATTAGCATATTTTATAATTTATCACTGATTGATCTTGTGTTGGGGATAACATCATATGCTTATTGAATGTAAGTTTGTACAAAAATTTTGATCTCAAGCAAGCATTTTGATTTAATTCGAGAAGAAAACTAGTGTTACAGTGACTTTGATTTTGGCTTAGGTAAATTCCCTATGTTAAAGGCTGGCTGGGTATCTCATTGGATTGTACTTACTCTGATTTATGTGGGGAATTGATTTGGAATTCAGTTTAACGTAATGCTCCTGGAAATTTCAGAGCTTGAGATTGTTTCATGTTTGGAAAGAAAGAGCAATGTAGCGAGGGATAGATGATAGTATCTAAATAAAAATAAATTTATTATCATTATATTTGGAATACTTAAACTAGTAAAAATTGAAATTTCTTCGTTTAAACCAATTATTAAAAATTGGCTTTTAATTTTTAGACTAAAATGAAAACGTTAATATATAATATATTATTTATATAGAAAATATTAATTATGTTAATGAATATTTCATATTTAAATTAATTTGATAATATTTAGCTTTGTTTCAAAGAATTTTGGCTCATGAATGTTTTTTTATTTATTTATTTCAGGATGTATTATTAACCTTGTTATCATTTTTCTCTTTTACTCAGGCTATCGGGTATCCGATACTGTAAGGAAAGGAATTTTTGATACAGAAATGTATTCAGAATTCGAGAAAGAACTCATGCTAGGTTTCCTAGCAGCTTTGATTGGTACTTATATTTTTCATTATTATTTTGCATTATGCTGCTATACATATGCAAAATAACAATTAAATGATTAACTTTTAATTTGTACATTTCAGGTAGTGCAATATGGAATATAGTAGCTACTTTTTTTCGCTGGCCGATATCAGGGACCCACAGTATTATTGGAGCTGTTGTTGGTTTTTCTTTAGTAGCTCGTGGTTTTATGGGAATTAAATGGACAATGCTTGGCCAAATAGGTAAGTATTGGTTTAAAGTCAAAATTAAATTTGAAATGCTTCTAAAAAGTAATAAATTTCAATTCTACCTAAGAGTGCCAGTCTTGTTACATTCTAATTCACTTTATGAACGAAAAGAAAAATTAATGTTTAAAAAACATGCTGTTCAAAACCAGGCATATACAGGTTGTCAAATCTCTTAACTTTAATCTTGAAAGTTTCATTAATGAGAGAGGATTCAGTTAAAAACCATAATTTTAGTTTAAAGTCCCAAATTAAAATAAATTATTACTTCTGAGTATAAATGTTTTTCTTGATGATTATATTATAAATTCTACTTATGACATGATAAATTTTGATTCAGAAATAAACGTTTTGTGAGGTTGCTTTTCTTTTGGAACTTGTTTGCTTCAATTTCTTTTCACACTGTCTAGCTGTGTCCATATTGATTGTTAAAAAAGTTGTAAACATTTTGTAATTATTAAATTTTCTGGATCTAAATAAGGATATTAATTGTCTTCATTTCGGTTTTTATAGTTGTTTAAATCATAGTTAATTTTTATTCCTTCTTGTAAAACTTGTATCTGTAAAATTTAGAGTAAATTAGGTCTTATTACTATTCAGGAAATTGCAAAATAAATTGAAGGTCCTATACTTACCTATTAACTATTTTTGTGAAATGAAATAAAATCTTGTTTGAAGATCAGTTTCAAAAATTTGAATTTGTCTCTTTGTACAGTATGATTTTTATCTACTTGACAATTTTATAATTTTTAAATCGGGAACTGGAAGAGATTCTTAAATGTATATCCTTTAAATAAATAAATAAATGTTTAGGGAAACACTTGATTAAAATATTAAGATCTGATTATAAATAATAAACCCAATTGCAATTTTAAGTAATATTGAATCATTAAATTGACATCTAATATATTTCAATTGAGAATTCAATAATTAATGACATTTTAAAACAACGAAGAGACATTAAAACAAACTGAAAATGTTTATGAATTTATATTTTTAATTAAATTAGTATTTTATGTTATACCTAATCAAAGTGTGAAAATAGAGTTAAAGAGCCGCTTAATTTTCATGATTGAAGAATTTTGCCTTTTTCAAGTTTTATAAAAGAGATGAGCACTGTTATTATATAATTTCACTTAAATTTTAAAGCATTTGACAATTTATTTTGGTTTTTTCTAACTGTAACTTCCTCTGTATTTTTAATATGTAGAAGTGTCAGTCTTAGTTTTTTTTTTTTTTTTTTTTTAATTTTTTTTTTTTTTTTTACTTTGGATGTTTTCTTTACTTCTTTGGATTTTTTTTTACTTCACTGGATTTTTATTTGAATTTTTGAAGTTATTTTTTTATTATGGGGCATCGGGGCACTGTCGGATTTTTGTTTTGCCGACAACAGAAAACCTCCAGCATGTTGGCTAGGCGGTATGTTCCCTGATGAAGTGTTGTTTTTGCTAACATCCGTATCTTTAGAATATTCTCTCATTTTTATTTTTATTTTTTTATCTTATTTACATTTTTTTAAATAGATTAGTATCTAACACATTTTGAATTTTAATGTTAATTTTGTCTGAAATTTATTTTTTATTGTAGTATTTTATTTATTATAAATTTTTGTAATATCATAGCTTGGCTTTGCTATGTATGGTGTTGAAAATTTTCTGTGCTTTTATGCATAGTTTTTAATCAATTTCAAAATTGTGTCATGCACAATTTGTATAACAATTCTGAATAAATCAAAAAGAGATCTGCCTTAGTTGCATTTTATTTCATAGCTTTTAATTCGGAAGCAAATGATTGCAAGATTAAGAAATGTTTTGAACCTAGCTTTTGGGACGAAAGGAAATTGGATTTGGTCACCACTAGTTTTGATTCTAAGGGAGTTAAAATTAGAATACTGTAAATGTGTGAGTTTTTGTATACTTATTCCTCACAGGTGATCTCACCTTTCAGTGGCTTCCTGGTTCCTGTCTCCAGTTTTGTCCGGATTTATCTCATCTGCTTTGTTCTTGGTGCTGAAAAAACTCGTCCTGACTAAAGTAGGTTATTTCAGCTTTTATCTTTTTCTATACTGCTTAATTAATATGTTTCTTTGATTGAAGTTGTTTTTAGAGAATTTTTAAAAATTATGTGACATAATATCATAAAATATTTAGAAACATTATGGTTACTCTGTGTTCTTATTTAAAATTGTAAATAGATGTTAAATATAAATATGTATATTCCTTGTGTTAGAATAAAAACTTTTTTCTTTTTTTTCCTCTTGTAATCAAAAGTTGTAGAGTGCATCAGATTACATAACTCGAATGGTTATCAGAGAAACGAGATGTAGTTTTGAATCATGATTCATCTGTTTATGAATTTGTATAATTTGTATTTATTAGAAGTGAAATCTTATATTTTTAACAAGGATGTCAACATATATAATAATTTTTTCTAAACCTTTGATAAGTATTACAATATATATATGTGTGTGTGTGTGTTTATAGCGTAAGTACCCGAAAAGGTTTGTAGAAAGTTATTCTTAAGTTTGTTTTATCTTGTAAAAGTTTAAACATTAACTAATTTTCAGAAACTTCCTTCACCCTTGCCTCTTGTTGCTGGATTAGCCAATAAGCTAGGCTAGCTCCTTAAATATACATTCAGAAAATCCAATGCTAAAAAGGGTACTCTTGTCTGTAAAGTAAACCACTGACCTTTTTTATTTTTATTTATTTAAAAAAAAATTTTTACTTAGGTTGTAATTTGATTTACACTTTACATTCCTTGGGACAGGCCAGTTAGGTTCATCTCTGTTTCTAATCATTACTGTAAATAATATTGCTAGGCTATGATTGTAATTAGAAAGAATCCAACTGCTGGTTTTTGAAGTGGTAAATTTAGTATGATATATGATGAGTAAGAAAATATTTCTTTCTTTGCAATTAAATAAATGTTATAAAGCAATGAGTTTTCTTTTTTAGGATGATGCTATTGAACGAGGCTATTTATCCTTGCCCTTTTTTTGGGGTATCACTGTTTTCATCAACTTGTTTTCTGTTGTTCATAATGGTCCAAAGTGTAAGTTTTTTGTGTTCACTTTTTTTGTAATTTTTAGTAATTATTTCAATGAATCTATTTTGTATGTGTTATAGAACGCCATTGTTCTATGTGTTAGCATACAAAGTAGGGGTGCACAAATATTTTGAGTGATGGGCCCCTCTAACAGCAAGTTAATTAATAAAAAGTCATTCCTAAGTATTTAGGTTTGTTATCTGCAGTAATGCTAATATTATGAAAACATAAATGTTTTAGACATTATATATCCTTTTTACCCATTATCTTAGCATTACATTTGCAGACAATTAGTTTTAAATATTAAAATTAAATTAAAAGTAAAAAATGCAAAACAAATATAAGCATTGAGAAAAATTATATTTTATCACGCCACATAATGTGAAAGTTTATTAAAAAAGCGATAACAGAAGTTTATTGTTCATAGAATAAAACTAAGAAAGAGAGAGATTGAGTATTTTATTGAATAATATGAATGGAAAGTAAAACGAAATTATTATAGTCCAAAGTACGAGTCAACATTTAGTTTGAAATATATTTCTATATAAGAATGCTTATCCATAGCGAATTATGAGAGGTTCTACAAATGTTAAATATTGATTGTTTTTATTTCATGTATTTATTTTTAATGAATGAATTAATTTATCATTGCTAGTAGTTAGGAACAAAGATAATTTTTTAACTTAAAATAATAAAAGCAGAATTACAAGCAGTAAAGTGTGTTCCAATAAAATTGCATTAACAGGTTAATATTTTAAATACTATGTGAACGCTAACTGTGAATAAAAATGTTTTTAAAAAAACTACTTGCTTTCAGTAGGAATTCGGCACAAATGAAAAATGCTAAAAAGGAAATTATTTAAATGCATAATTTCAAAGTCGCACATCATAATATCGTATTGAAAATATCAAGATTTTCCAAATAACATGACAATGGCTGCCGGAAAACAACTTACATCTACAGTGGAAATGGCTCAAATAAACTACGCCAAAAATGATTTTTTAAAAAGCTACTAAAGAGAAGTGATTTGTAATAATATCTTAATTTTAAAATTCTTGTGGAAATCTGTTCTGTAGCAATAACTGCCAATTTTTATGGGATTGAAGAATCATTTGGATTTTCAATGAAATCTGCACACATAGTATCAAAGGAAGTTATTCAAATTTTGTGCATCGTAAGCTTTATAAAGATATGTTTTTATTTTTAACCATGTGATAATCAGTAGAGAGGAATTTGAAACTTCCATTTTTTTCCAAGAAAAAAAGAATTTAGATTTTTTATTATGTTCAGGTGTTGCCACGAGCCATACATCAGTAGCTGGTAGGTTCAATGTTGTACAGCTCTTAATTAAAATACTTTTAAATATATATAAATATGTATCTAATAAACATGAAATTATTTGTCAATTTTTTTGCAATTTATGTATTTTTTCTTTATCTCAAATATGTATCTAATTTTTTTAGATCTTGGTTTTCAAAGTATTCCTGTTTGGGGTGTGCTAATTTTAGCTGCTGGCATAGGATTTATAGTTAGCATTTGTGTCTGGTATATACTTGTGCCTTATCTACAACAAGCAATTGCTTGTAAGTATATTTTTATTTTTTAGCTAAATATAGATTATGATTAAGATTTAATATTCTTCATTTTAAACTAAATACATAATAACTATTAACTTTATGGCTGTTTTAGGGATAACTTAAATTTTATTGGAAAGTTTAAAATGAAATGTATTGGATAGGGAATAACATTTACAAATATGTTTTTAAAAAAAAAATTTACAGTTAAATAAGATGTTTATTTTATTGTTTTTTAAAAGCTGAAATGGGAACTTTTAAATAGGGTACGTTCCTTATCAGTAAAGACTTTTTGTATTTTAATTAGAACTCTCTCTCTCTCTCCAACAAGTTTCAAAATTACATGATTAATTTAATTATTTTTTTGCAATTTTTTCTCTGTCTGTGTTAAGGCATTGGTTGTGTTTGCAGTATAATTGTATTTTAAATATGTGCTTTTTTAAAACAAAAAATAATTTCAAAAATAAATGTATTTTAATATTTCTTAATCTATTTCCATAATATAAATTTTTTCCTATCTTAGCAATGGGTGATAGCGAGAATAGCGAAAATCAGATTGGTGCAGAGGAAAGTAAGTTATATTTTAAATATTTGTTCTCTACTTATGAAGTTTTGGGGACAAAGGGAGATAGGGAATGATACAATAAAGAAGACTATCTTGGTTTCTCTGAAGGAAACTTCATGATCAAATTTCTATCATTTAATGCTGTGAATGCTTATAATTTAACATTTTAAGTAATGGCATGTTAAAAGAAAAAACATAGTACCTTAAAGTGTTTGGCACTTATCTTTTTTCTTGCCCTCTTAATCTAATAAAATTGCTTTAATATTTTTAACCTTTTGTGTTTATTCAATGTGATCAAAATAAGTTTGTTTTATTTCATTATTACATTGCTTGTTCAATATTATTGTGCTGATTTTTAACTGGTTCTTTTGAAGTTTCCAGTTGTAGTTATTGTTTATTAGAAACTTTTTATTTCAAATCGTGTGTCTGACTTCTTTCAGTTCTTTATCTCACATACTGGTGTCTAGGGATTTTCTTGCAAAAATTAAATAATTAAGTGTGTAGTAAATTCATTTGGAGTAAAATTATTAAAGTTTCAAAGCTGTTATTAATAAAAATTTTAAAATGTAGCTTTTTCATTTATATAGTAAATACAAACTTAAATTTTATTTAATCTCTTTCAATATTAAATATTTTTGAAAATTCAAATAAGTTATTACTATCCAAGCATGACCATCAAAATGTAAATCATCAGTTCTTTATAATATTAGGTAATTTAATTAAATAAAATCTTTTTTTTTTTCTGTTCAAAACTCAACAGTTACAAAGTTATCTCAAATGTTACACAAACTGGTACAGTATGAATTAGTAGAACTTTATAAGTTACTAAATCAGGATATCTAAGAAAAGTAATTTGTTATTGAATTATTTTTCCCCAATTTGATTTTTTAAATTCTTATCTAAGTCTTAGAAAATTTATATTCAAACTTTCTCTGCATTTTTAAATTATGTTTTTGGAAAAGTTTGTGACACCTTTTGGATGATTTTCTGCATAATGGCCAATTCAGTATGTGCTTATATTTTTCTTCCTTTTTTATTTTTACTTTTTCTTTTGCTACTGCATTTTGGTATGTAAAAAGTAAGAGCGATAGTGCAATAGAAAGGCCTTCCTCTTATTTTATTTTGTTCCCTATAGAAACACTTAAGCCTACCTGTTATTTGGTTAAGATAAATAATTGGACAAAACAAATTCCTAGACTGCAGTGTAATGAGGGATGTTCTTCTATGATAGCCTTTTTTTTTTTTTTTTTTTTTTTTTTTTTTTTTNTTTTTTTTTTTTTTTTTTTAAACACTTCTGTAAGTTAACGCTCTATTTTGAGATATTACAAGCTCCTTAATAGTCGAGCCATTTTTCAAAATTTGAAATTTTTCGCGGGTCGCAATTAAATACGTATTTAAAATGAATTAGAAAAAAATTTTTAACAGAAATTATGTTTATTGAAAACATATAAATAATAAAAGTACAAAATATGTGTATTGAATTTAAATATTAAAAATTAGGCACATTTATTTTAATTCTCTTAATAATTCTTTCAAATTTGCTGAATAAGTGGTGACAGCACTTCTCAGTAATTCTTTGAGATGCTGGTTAGTTAATACTGATCGGTGTTTGGATTTCACGAATTTTAAAGTGGAATAAAATGATTCACATAAGTACGTTGTTCCGAATATTGAAATAATTCGACAAGCAGCCTTTTTTAATTCTGAATACTTCGATTCTGGTACAAATTTCCAATATTCAGTAATTGACGTCGACTTATATTTTAATTGTAGAGAAGGGAAAAAAAATCAAGAGATGATTTAAAATATTTCGAGTCTTGAAATCTATTTTGGAATTCCGTCAATATTCTTTCTAGCTTTTTTATATACTTGTTGAGTTTTTCTTGTTTAATATTGAAACAAATTTTTTATAATTCAAGGAAAATGACAATGTTTTATTTTTAATGTCCTTTTGAAAGAGTTGTAATTTACTTTGTAAATTAGTATATCATACCAGGGTTTAAGCTGAGTCTAAAAATTCATTAGCAAAAAAGCTGAAATCTGAAAAAAAGTTTTAGCAAAATGCTAAAATGCCAGTAGGCTTATAAAATTACTTTATATCAAACAAGTACTGTAAGTTATCTGACAAAGAATAGCTTAATGTACAAGAATATCAAAAAGAATACCTATAACAAAAAAAAAAAAACACATTTATTATTTATAAAAACATTTTGGTTTATAATTAACAATCTTCCTTTCTTTCATGTTTGCCCATTTTACAAATGCTTCTTGAAAGTTAAATGCACTTTCAAGGCCCTCAATATTAATCATTAACAAATTGTTTACATGGTTGATTAACAACCTGTTTCGAATATTAGTTTTAATCAAATTAAGGCAGCTAAAGCCCCTTTCACAGTCAACAGTGTGCATTGGTATTGTTGCACAATACTCTATAACAGAAATTATTAATGGGTACTGTTCAGACACATCATTGGTATATAAAAATAAAAGTAATTCATTAAATGACATGTTTTTACATTGTTGCATTAAGATGTGTTTAAATAATCCCCATTCACAAAGTAATTCAGTTTCTGTAAACTGAAAATCTTTTCTGGGAGATTCCGAAAACAAATTGAAAATGCAACGGATTTCCTTTACACCATAATGCTGTAATTCTTCCGAACTATGGGGCATCCTGCTAGGTATAAATATATTGAACATTTCGATTTTATCCAAATCTCCCAATCTATCAGTAATATTTTCAATGATACAGTTTAAAAAATTGTGCATCAAATTACGGAATCTTTTCCTCTGTTTCAGTCCATCTAAAATTATATGGCCCTGAAACTCAAATTTTTCACTTTCCTTCTTAGACACATCATCTAAAAAACTCATATAATGAGTGCCGGTGCCATTTTTTATTTCTTCTAAACTTGAAATACAAGCCTTCACACTTGATTGAACATATTCAAAATTTAAATTAGATTTTTGAAATATGAGGCTTTATTAATGTTGAACATGATATCATTCATGATGGCAGTGGTTGCTAAAAACAAAAAAGTAGTTATATTTTTTAGCAACCCTTGAGCAACAGGACGTTTGTCTTCCATTAAAACACCAACAAGAGCTTGCCAGTTGCAATCCAGAGCTGTAACTGAATTCCCCAAAGACAACCACCGAGTTGTTGATAACTTTATGAATTTCCTTGATTTTTGTTCAAGGATATCTTGAACATTCTTCAATCGCCTGGTATTTGCAGGGGAGCATTCAAAATAAGAGTGAATTATTTTTATTATGTCCTGAAACTTTACCAGGTAAGCATTCTCAGACGCTGCTTGGCTCATGGCTAATGCTAGCCTATGTGCCATACAATGTACTGAAATTAAATGCGAATTTTGGTTTTTGAACAGAGCAGCAACCCCCGCTCTAACACCAGTCATAACTGAAGGTCCATCTGTACCTAAGGATGAGCATTTTGTAACATCTATTTTCAAACTCTCAAGTGTATTTATCGAAGAAGAATAAATAAAATTAGCACCCTCCATTTCTACTAAACTTAGATAATGTGTAGACAATCTACCTTGATGAAGCACTTTTAGGTAGATAATTAAACTTTGATCTATGGAAACATCCGTACATTCATCAATTATGACGGAGAACCATCTTGCTGAATTAACTTAATGCAGTATTTTTTCTTGAATGGTCATGGCAAGAGCCATTTCCATGTCCCGAATGCTGTCATAACTTTCATAAGAGGCTGTACCTATATTCAATCCACTGAGACTGGAACAACCTAAATCTATGCACAAATCTTTTATTGAACTAAACTTTCTAGTAGCCAAATGTTCCTTTGCTTGCATATAGACTATTTTCATTGCTGAAATAACTGATTCATTAGCACTGGAAATTGATTTTGCAACAGATTTCCCCCAGGCATTGCTCTCCATCAAGGCCTTGTTTTCTACAGCATGTTTATGGTCAATGCTCAGTTCATGCTTTTTCAATACATCTACTTTAGAAATCAAGCATCCTGAAAGATAAATAAGGGGAATATAATTAACATAAAAATTGAGACACCAAGAAAATAATTTTAGGATAAAAAATCAGCTTAATTATCAGCATATATAATGTGATATATATTATAGAAGTACAAATAAATACACATACCTGTTGAGCTGGATAAAATATTGAACTTCTTATCAGAAACACACAAATTGCACTTGAAAGATGGCAAATTGTTAATCCACTCAACTTCCAGCCATTTGTATAGGGAGCACCACTTAACAACGAGATTTCTTGAAGAAATCGAAGTGTTATACTTTTTCCCTTATTTTCATCATTAGTTTGCAGCGAATCCTCGTTTCTTCTTTTCTTTATCAGAAATTTTTCCATGTGTGCATAGATGAAAACAAATAAAAACACTCAAAATAAAATAGGCAACTTTTAATTCTTTTCTAACGAACGTAAAACGTGCAAGATGCGAGAAAAGTATGCAATCACGCCGCCGAGAAACCGTGATGACGAAATCGGTGTTTGAAAGCGGGAGACACGTCTGCTTCAACCAATAAAAAGCGTAGAAAAATTAAGTCCAGATTTCTCAGAAAAGATCTCTCTTTGTGTCACATTCCTACTTGCAGCAGGAGGGGGAGGGAAAACTTGTTTTTAGTCTTGTGGTTGGTTTATTTTTCTTTTCTTCTCGGTGAAACTCATATTCTAGCCATTTTTGTTGATCGCTATGCTTCATCTCGTTTGATCACATTTTTTTTTCGTGAACGCTAGCGTCATGGTTCTTCTTGCGAAAGATATTTAGATTTTTTCTCCTTCTTGTTTGATCAAGTTTTTTTCATAAATGTTAGCGTCATGGTTTTTCGCGGAAGCTTTTTTTTAATGGAATTTAGTAAAATGCTTTGTTGAATTTTAGCATTTTTGAGGGGTCTTTTCGCATTTTGCGAAAAAAGCTACCGTAGCGGAAACCCTGTATCATACACTGTGAGAGGTTAGATATTATTTTATCTTTCCTCTGTAATTGTAAATTCAGTGTTTGCGAATGTTCCATGACACCAGTTAAAAACATCAAGTCTTGTAACCACTAATCATCGTCTAATTCTGAATAGGTTATTTCCTTTTCTTTCAGAAATGCAGTTATCAGATCAAAAAAATCTACAAAACAATTTAATACGTTGTAGCTAGATAACCATCTAGCAATGCAAAAGAAATTAATGTCATTAAGTTCTTCGTCCTTTAATTCTTTATGGAAATGTTTGAATAGTTGATGATTTTTTGCATTGGTGCCAATGTAATTTACAAGTTGCACTGTACAGGATGTTTTAAATATTTTGTAACGAGATGTTCTCGGTGAACTATGCAGTGAATTGGTATGAATTGTGGAGTTTGAGGATCATCTTTCAAAAGACCAATTTTTTTTACCCAGCATTGCCAGAGCTCCATCAGTAGCAATGCTTGCAAGTTTATTAAGAGGCACATCAAAAGTTTTCATTATGGAATCTAATGCATTTTTAATATCGGCACCCCGGGTTGACTCTTGAAGTGCTACTGAGTCTAATAATTCTTCTTTAACAACGAAGTCGGATGTGAAAACTGCCAATTGCGGAAGATCTGTGATATCTGTCGATTCGTCAGGGGCTAGGCTGAATGTAATACAGTTCTTCAAATTATTTTTTAAATTATATTCCAGCGATGTATTAATTGTTGTTCTGTTGTGTGTCTCGAAATGGGAATTTGCAAAACAACTTGGTGCAGTGCTGCATTATTTGGATCTAAAACTTTAAGTACATCTTACAAAGTATTTTTTAAATAAACTCTCCCTCTCCATATGGACATTTTGCACGAGCAATATTCCAGGTAATAACAAAACTGGCTTCAGCCACATTATTAGCTTGATTGCTAAAGGTCTTCAAAGTTGACTGTTTATTTAAATTTGATTTTAAAGAAGCAAGTTTATCTTATCTTAATTTGATGGATACTGATTAGAAAACTGGGGATGATTGGTTTCATAATGTCGACGTAAATTGCTAGCTTTATAATTTTTGACCGTAGAATTACCAATAACACAATGCTTTTCTGTCATTGTCAATAAAAAAGAAATTCTCCCACTCATTATTAAAACTTTTATTTTCTTACTCGTATTTGCTTTTTTTATTTTCGTTCGCTGTTGTCATATTTTGAAAAGAACTGGAAATAAAAAAATTTAGAAAATACAAGTTTTGTGTTATTAAAATAATGACATGTGTTATGTACTATGAAACAAATTTAATTAACTTACCAAAAATTCCAGATTACAAATTATATCCATAGCAAGAGTGATACAAATTATTTCCTCCAAAACACGATATCAACTGTCGGTTGCAATGAAGGTTTGCAAATTCAAAATCGGTCTGGAGTCGGTCGATTACGCCACTGTTTATGTTCGTTCACATAGTTTTCGATGAATCATATCATTCTTAACTTGAACGGAAATGAAATTTGTTACAACATTGCACTTAGTCTTTCTTACTACTTGTCAGTAATTTAAAAGACATTTTGAAACACGTACCAAACGATAATAATTTTTGATGATAAAATAGCACAAAAAGGAAAAGGGAACTCTGGTACATTTATCGAGAGCCACAAATAATCCTTCATAGAGCCGCAGGCTAGCCCCCCCCCCTTGTTATAATCAATGCTAACCAGTGGCCCCCATTCCCCCAAGCTCTTGGGCAAATTCTAAATTCCCCCCCCCCCAAACTATTTGTTTTATTTAGTGTAAAAATCCCCCCCCCTGGTGGGGGCCCCTGATGCTAACTCATAAACACAATTCTAACATGTCTGTTAAAATCAAAGCTTAAATTGTGCCTTTTTTTATATATATATTGACCCTTATTTAACTTTTATAAAACAATTAATTCTAAATGAACCTTTATATTCTCATAAGAGTTACTCATGTTATGTATTTTTGCTGTATATTTTTTAAAAATAGACTGCATATTAATTCTATTTCCTTCCTCTAGTTCCTTCTAAAATCTCTTATCCTGATGTAGAAAATCCTGCTTTTAATGGAAATGGTAAGGAAAAGATCGTATTACCTTTTTTTTTTATGTTGACTGACAAATGACTGTGTTTATAAATAAATTTTGAAGTCTGTCTTCAGTTTTTGTAGTTTTCTATTAATCATGCTGTAAAGGTAGCTGAAAATTGACAAACCTGTGGCAAATTATTAAGTACTTATGGCCATTTGTTCACCTAGCATTGCTATCAAAATAAGTGAGACAATGTTTTCTGTTTATGTATATTTGTTTGCCCTAAATCAAGTGCCACTAAACATGAGTCAGTAGAGTAAATAGGTCAAAATTTGATAGAAAGTACCTTTAATATTGGCATTTTTGTAACTTGTTGTAATAGTGGGCTTCATGCAATATGCAGTACACCTTTTTTAAATGAAAACCTAACTAAACTTAAAACCTGAATGTTTACACATTGACTAGCAGCCAATATAATTATATACAAAATGAGTATCATTATTTTATGTTTGTGTATAAAGTATCTTACAATAATTTCAGGACATGAAATCCAAATGCAAGATGTAGGAAATGGTATATCAAAGTCAACAATAGTACCAGTGGCCACATCAGCTGAAATAAGCAAAATTGTAAGTTTCCTTATGCATTAAGACTGTAACTATCCAAATTAATCAGGAACACATATGATCTACATAATCTCTTGATAACCAAATTGTGCTTTAATTTAAAAACAATGTTAGAATTTGTGCCATGTGTCCGTAACTTCAAATCATTTGAATTACATTATGTTCTTTGCCTTGTTTGAGTTCTATGGAGTTTTGTTGTTTGGAATTAATTTTATATCTAAAATAAGACAGAGCATCACTAATTTGAAAAATAAGAGTTAATTTCAGTTGATATTTTGTCTGTAACAAATTATTGATTTTTATTCAGGTGATATGTGTGGGAAATTGAACTATAAAATAATCTTGCGTGCTATTCAAACGAATACTTAAAAGACTGGATGTACTGCTTAGGCAAAAACATGCACAGCTAGATTTGAGTGTGATCTAATATTAAAGTCGCTAAGATTTATGCATGCATGTTGGCGAATTAACCATTATATTAAGACAGATAATCCGGCATCAGAGAGTGATAAAAGTCTGCTGTATATAGATTTAAGAGTTTATTCTATTTTAAGAGGAAAGAGACTTACTACTCTGAATAAATTGCATGCAAGTGCAGGGAGCAATCCAGGTTTTATATTTTGAGACCCATTTTTATGAAAAAGAATGGAAAATTATTCTGGTGAAAATTCCTGAATGAAAAGCATTCACCATATTTTATGTTTCATGTCATTTATTGATGTTTAATATAATACAAAATACAATTAGCATTTTCAAACCATGTGGAAACAAATCGCATTTGTACAAATACAAAATGCGATTTTTGGTTTTAGAACTGTGGGGAATTGTTGCGATGTGTCATTTTTTAACTCGGGGTTTCTTTCAAAATTTTGTTTTAAACAAGTTTAATTTACATGCAGCCCCAAACTCTCTTAAGTTCTGAGAATCCAGCTTGAAACGATTTTACGTGATCATTTTATAAAGTAAACTTTGTATAGGGGCTGTTTTTACAAATTGTGAAAGGACTGTTTAAAAGATTAAAATTTCGTATAGGGACAGCAAAACTACCTTTATTTTCACCCTCGATCGATCTCTGATATGAGTCGACAAAATTAAGAAGACAGCTAGTAGATCTAAGAACAGGGGTTAAAAATAGATGTGTCTTGAGCTATACTTAGCTGTTAACCAGAAGAAATGTGTTTTATGCTAATATCCTATTTCTTGATATGCCTTATTTCTTGAAATTAAGACTTTCTTTGTTTTCTTAAATGGGTATTTTCAATAAAATTTAATGTCTTAAAAAATGAAAATTAACAAGAAGCATTAAGGCCTCCTAATCAACAATATTTTGTGTTAACAACCATTGTTATGAAGAATACTGAAGTAGAATTATTTGAATATTGTTTCTCTTTTAATAGGAAAAAGAGTTTACCTGCTCTGCTGTTCCATATGATACACCTGAAACTGGCAAAGTATTTTCATCACTACAAGTTTTAACTGCTATTTTTGCAGCATTTGCTCATGGTGCAAATGATGTTAGGTAAATATTCTATAACAGATTGTTAAGTATGTGGGATACTTAATATTAAAATTTAAATAGTAACTATTTCTAAAAAATCTTATGATTTGTGTATTTTAATTATTGTGAAACTGCATTTTGTTCTTATCCTGTATTTGTTTTATGACAGATGATAATACATTTCCATTACAATATGTATTTATTTCCCTCTAGTTAGTTTGCTATAAGGAATGTAAATTTGAACCTCATTGACATGAAATTGAAAGGATTCGAACATTTGTTTAGGTTTATAAGAACCTTATGATACATAGACATTTTGTATTAGCTATACACAACATGCATTATCTATTCTCCATACATAGCAATCACTCTCATATGAATGTGCGAAACAATATACATTTTATTTTATGTTCATGGTAAATCGACTAATGATAAATCGTTTAAAACATCTATTTTCACAAGGAATATAATTAGTTACTTTAAAAGTTAAAAATAATTAGCTGAATGGAGAGAAAAAAACTACAATGCTTAAAAAAATTACTGCTTTAAGTTTTTTTTCTAGCAAAAAACTACATCAACTTTTAATATCTGTGTTTCAATCTTCATCTATAGAAATTGGATAATCTAGATATCTAATTCTTAGAGTAACTTTTTAGAATGATTAAGATTTTTGTGAAGGATAAATTTACTATTTTTCCACATCCTTAGGGATCCAAAAAAAAAACAACTTTTTAACTATACTAAAAGTGAAAATCTATGATATTTTAATCCGATTATAGCTTTTTTAAAATATATATATATATATATATATATATATATTCAGTCCTGACCCTACTCTAATTCCATTAATCGCTTTCATCCTGAAATTATCAACCAATGCAAAGGCAATAGAATATTTTCTAAAATATCAGTGCTCAATCACAATTACCCCTGCATATGCATTTATATATTGAACAGTCATTACTGTTAGTGTACTGTTCTATTTGTAGATCAATGTTGCATTCTTAAAGTTAATGATCATTTTCTATTTTATCAAGTTTTTCCATGCATGTTTAGTGCAGGGAACAGTGACCGAGCTTCGTCATTTCTAAATTGTTGTCTCCGTTTATTCATTTGATTTAATGACTTGAATACAATTCAAAAATAACAAAGTTTGTTCTTAAAGTAATCAACTGCTGATTGTACAAAGTATCAGATTTCTTACTGGATTAGTGGCTATAGAAATTTTCTATGCTTGTAAGAAAAGGAAAAAAAAAAATTACTTGTTATGTTTCAAAGCAATTGAAATAAACAGTTTTAATAATCATGGAACTGTCAAAGGTTTGAATTTAAAGTCTGTAATAACTTAATGATATAATTTTTTTTGATAAAAATGTTCGCGACTGCAATACTAAGCATATATTTTCTTTATGTATAAAGTTATTAAAACTTTTCTTTTTAATTATTTGAGCAATTTTTTTTAAAATTAATTTTACTCCATGATATGTAGTTTTTATAGTCAATGATGATTGTGTCCAATTAACATTTCAGTAATTGATGAAAATGCAATGGGTACCATTTACTAATTTACATATGTAGTTTGATTTTTTTTTTTTTTTTAAAGAAAAGTTTATTTGTCTATTTCAAAACGTATCTGTCATTTCAGTACGTTCGATCAATCATGATACTATTTTTATTATCAGTGTATAAAATTCATCTTAATTTTTAACAACATAAAGTATTATTAATTTTTAAGGACCTTATAATTGCACATTTTGCTGCAATGTTATTTACATTAAGCTGAATATTTACAATAATAGTCCTCTGTATGTGACTGTGTTAAGGTTGCATACAAATTTGAATTTATGAAGATGATGCTGTAAATTTACTCCATGAATTCTGTTTAGAAATAAGTTTAAAGATATTTTTAAGAAAATCTCAGCAATTTTAACTTTTTTTTCTTTCTTTTGTTCTCTGTTTTAAAAAAATGAAATCTTATATGGAAAATTACCTACAGGTGCTGTAATCTGTAGAACCTAATGATATTCTGGGATTGTTGATCTTTGAGTGCACGATTAATTGTAAATAAATTTTAGTGGAGCGGTTATGTGCATATTAATATTTTTACATACATGACTTATTTATCACATGTTTAATAAAATATATATATATTTTCAGTAATGCCATTGGACCTGTCATAGCAATTTGGCTGATTTATCAAGATGGAAACGTAGCACAGAGAGCTGAGTCTCCATTTTGGATCATGTTGTATGGTGGTGTTGGTATCAGTATTGGCTTGTGGGTCTGGGGTAAAAAAGTCATCAAAACTATGGGTGAAGATTTAACAAAAATTACTCCCTCAAGGTATCATTTTGAGCTTTTTATTCTTGTGTTTTGTATTTAAAATTTTAAACAGAAACATTTTAATTTGAAGTATCACATCTATGAACGAATGGATATTATATATATATGGAATAAGCTTAGAAATTATTTTTATGTGTAATATTTTGCATTAGACGGAATTTTTGAGAAAATGGAGCTTTGACTACTCCAAAACAATTTTGGTTAAAATTATTACTAATAGTGTTTTGTTAAATATATTGTAAAGTTAAGGTAAACTGGCATTATTTTTAAAATTAAATTAAGATCAGATTTCATAAAAAAAATTTTACTTTACAAATCAGAAGCCGATTTTAATTAGTTTAATAATTATGTGACACTAAATAGAAAGTCAACAATACATGTAAATAAATATATATTTTAGCTCATAGATATAGTTTATTATTTACATGGTAGCAGGGTTGGGTTTTTGACATGACAAGGGTATAATACTGGTTTAAACCGTCAAAACTGAAGTTTGCCAAGAAAATATATAAACTACCAACAGTTGCCATGCATTATATTGAAATTTAATTGTACTACTGGTAAGCAGCAGGTTTTAAAATATTTTTTAATTAAAATTAAGGTAAAATAACAGATTTAAAATCTCAGAAATTTATATTCAAATGCATGTGCAGAAAAATTTTGCACAAAAATTGTTTAAATACTTATATTTTGAAGAAAAAAAATTTTTTTTTGATACTTAAGAAAATTAAAAGTTTATTACTATGCATTTTTGACATATAAGGAACATATAACTAATATTTATAAGGAACTTACAAGTTATGTTGTATAAATACAAACTTGATACAAGTGTATGAAAAAAAATTTTAATGTTATACCGAATATCTTTATTATCCAGATTGTTAATTTGAATTTAAAAGTAGTTATATTTGTGAATAATGATAAATATAATTCATGTTGTTTATTATATTTATTTATACTTATCACACTTATCATTTTAAAACAATTTTTATCTCTTAATTTTTTTTTCTCCACTTGTATTAAGAATACAAATAATGCATATCTTGAAAGCAAGAAGTAATTATTCAACAGCTGAATATTTAGATATTCAACAAAACTATATAATATTCAGCAAAATGAAATTCTAAAGTATTTGGATAAACTAAATTTTCAGCATAGTAAATGAATATACTGTAAATCGACACTAACTACTCTGTGTATTTAACAGAAAGCACTTAAATTTGTATTGTCTTATGTTAAAAAGATTATTAAGAAGATTTAAAAGAATATTTAAAAGATGTCTAATGTACAAAACTGCTAATGTTTATCTTTAAAAATGTCTAAATTTTAGTATAATCTATACTATACACTAAATTTGGTTATAAATAAATTTCTTAATAATATCACTGCAGATTTTCAATAACACATAAAAATAAATACATAATATTACAAAAGATGTGAGCTTTCAAAAGTACAAGATTTTGGTTACTATTCAAAATATAAGTGTTTCTTCAAAATTTTAAATTTATTTTTTCTAGAACATATTTAGAAACACTATCCTTTATAAAAAAATATATAAATTTTATGTATTAATTAAATTTCGCATATGAATATAGGTTTTTGAAATTTTTGACAATGAGGTTTTTGACATGACGGTTTAAACCGTCAAAAACTGTCACATGTCAAAAACCTGCCAACCCTGCATGGTAGGAATAATTTCTAATGCTACTCAAAATTAGAAAATACGAAAAACTTCTGGAATTTAAAATGTTTGAAGGGACGAGTTTATTTTTTATAATTTCTTAATGAATCACTTTGTATGTTTAATATTCTAAGTATGTGTAAAAATAACTATATGTTCTAGTAAGCTATTTTCTCCACTCTATACTGCTATTTTAAGTGTTTATTTAGGAAAAACCTAATTCCTCAAAATTTATTTAAAAATATTCTATTTTAGTTTTCAAATACATAAAATACTTAATTTGGTCTTTTAGTGGATTTTGTATAGAATTAGGAGCTGCGGCAACAGTACTAATGGCATCAAAAATTGGTCTTCCTATCAGCACAACTCACTGCAAAGTAGGTTCCATTGTATTTGTTGGATGGACTCGATCTAGAGCTGCTGTGGATTGGAAACTTTTCCGCTCAATCATTCTAGCATGGGTTTTAACCTTGCCAGTTTCTGCTGGGTTATCTGCTGCAGCCATGGCCATACTGAAGTCTATAGGTTGAATACACTTTTTATAAAATGTTCATATTTTACAGAAATCTCTTTTTCTACAAAACTTTTTTATGTTGTGCTTGCCACAATATTTGACATTTTAAAGACTTGAATTGATTGAAAATCGTCATAATTTCTGCAAGTTCACAGAAAGATAAAGTGTTCGTTCATGTTTGTTTTTTGTGATTTTATTTGTTGCTTTTTGCTATGAATTTTATTTCCTGCGTTTTGAATCAAAAATTGATTTGCAATTTTATTAAAGTGTAATTGAAATTATACTTTTCTTTCCCATGAAAGTATTTTCTAGTCAAGATTCATTTTTTGAAAAAAACAAAAAAAAAAATGTTGGCCCGGTTAATCTAATGAAAAAATGTGTATTTTCAAATTATCACAATTGTTGTTAAAATGAATATTGTTTTTATCATTAATTTTACATTAGAAAAAAAGTAGAAAAATCAAAGATTTATATGTGATGTATGTGTCTAGCTTTGTCTTGTGTCTCAGTCATTTTTCATTACTACGAATTAGTACTTTAGCTGGTCTGGTCATGTTGCTGCTATAGACAGCATTTTAATCTACTTTTAAGAGCTTGAGTTGCCTTTGTTGATTGTATTTATCTAAAAGAAACTGAATTTGGTCAATGGATTTTATAGATTGAAAGATTTGTAATATATTTTGATGTAATTACAATTTTTCAAGACTTTAGTGTAACAGTGAAACACCGAAACCTTTTTTAATAAAAGAATATAAATGTATTGTTTTGATGTTTTTATTTGTTTTTATCTCTACATAGTACTCAGAAAGGGAAATATTGTACTTAATTTAGTAATGTGTTTCGTATTGACATATTTTTGAGAGGAGAAAAGACGAAAATTTGAATAAAAATGTTAAATAAAACTAAGATAATTGATATGTTATCAAAACTACTTTTTTTTACATCTCCTTCCCACAAATTTTGAAAAATCTCTGCTAAAATTGTTCTCTTGTGCATTTTTTTCCTCAGAAATACATTAAAATTAAAATCAATGATTGAGCATTGTAACAATTAAGATCTATTGATCTTCTACTGATAAATCAATTCTTTTGTAACTTTCCTATCGTTTATCTTTCATGTGTCACGAAACAATGTCATGTCGTATAAAAAATTTGTTTTTCCATGCATGTTTCAACTGTCACGGAGCATTAGATTCTAGTTCTGAACAACATATAATTGCATAATCCCAGACATTAAGGTTTTAAAAAAAATTAAGAGTAAAAAATCCAATGAAACCACAAATTTAAGTTGTAGCTTTTACCCATAATCAGGGCCTGAGACTAATAAGCAAGGTGGGATAAAACCTGTTTATCATAAAAAAATTTTAATATCTTTGCAAAATGAAAGAAATATTTCAGTTAAATACGATCTAAGTTACATATATAGTAGATAATATAAAAGTTTTCATGTACTTAATTTGAAGGAAGGATATGTCGACATGATCTGAGTACTAAGAAGTAAGCGCCGTTAATAAAACTCTCCAGATGAAATTTAAAATCTTAGGATAAAAGAATTTAAAGCTTTGGAGATATAGCGAGATACATATTATAGACGAGATACATATCAAGACATAGATATTAACATTAAGGGGTTCAATTCTGCTCTTCTATCTAAACTATTTGGATCATATATTTTCCAGATTTCAATGACTGCTCATATTTTTAGGATCAAGAATCAAAATTTGTTTAAAAGAAGGTCTGTTTATTCAAACAATGTGTTTTTGTAACTTAAAATATTGCCTCTATATATTGAGTAGAGTATTTAAGATTTAGCCTATGGTAGTGAGTCTCGATGCATCCAAGTCTGATCATTAGAACAAAAGTTATTCAAAGTGCTCACTTTTTTGTGCACTATACAGATCAGAAATTTTTCCAAGCTAATTCAATAATTTAGTTTAAACTACTAAAAGAACAAATTTTTGGCAAAATTTTTAAATCTATAACAACATTTAAATTTTGAAACAAATTTATAAATAAGCTTGATTTAAATTAAATGTTTTTAAAGACTCCCTCCCCCCAAAAAAATAGGTACTTAAGTTCTACAACTTTTTAATTTTTTTTTCTATTTTAAAACTTAATTTTATTTCCTAAGTTATAAAATCTATGATTGAGTTAAACAAATATTGGGGCAACTACAATATTCTACATTTCTAAAAAAAATTTCAGTATTAATATTTGACAAAGATTTAATTAATAGTGAATCTCAGCAATTGAACCATTTTCTATGTTAATAGTCACCTTTAAAAATACATAAACTTTGTTGCATTTCATAAACTAATTGGATATTTCTGCAGTTTTCCTTTTCATCCTACCTCTCTGCTGCTTTATTTTGCAGTGCCAAAGTCATATTTTTTACCCATGTTAAGTCAACGTTTCTTTAAATTCCTCCAAGATTTTTTTTTTTTTTTTTTACTGCAATTAAGATGTAATTAACAAAACATCTTACCAAATGATTAAGTTACATTAATGACCCTTGACTCATCTATTCAAAAACTAATGACTGGTTAAATGCAGATTACTTCACCTGGAGTAGGTAACGACAATCTCCCAGTGACATAAGAATTGTATATTGTTCTTTTTTTCCCTCACTCTCTCTCTTTTTCTTTCATTCCTTTGCATTGAACAAAATTTTTAAAGAAAACGAAACTGTATTAAATTAATCATAAAATGTCACCAAAGTATATTAGTTTTTAATAGAATAAACGGTTAATTTATTTATTTTCTTTTTTTTTAATGATTACATACTTAGATTATGTAATTTTTATTCTACCACCAATGAAAATAGTATAAACAGGTGTATTATTCAAACATGCACTTTAAATTTTATTTAGCGAATTCAATGTATAAGTAACAGGATAAATTTCAATAATTAACTAGTCAGCTGAGAAACCTTATTTTGTTGAAAAATAAATTCTTAAAACATCCCAAAAACTTAAGATTAATGGAATGTTTTAATCATTTTAAAATTTTGTAACGCTTACAAACATATTTTTCGCAAAAATAATCCCTTGGAATTTATAATTACCCAATATTTTTCAATACCTAGAGATTCGAAATTTTTTGAAAAATATGAGATTGTTTATCAGACAGCTATGATTTTAAATTGGTTGGTTTTCAGAACTTATGGTTACAGTCTGAAGCTTTTGTAAAAGTTGGGGAGTCTTCTTAACATTATCAGTTATGGCTTACTCTTCACTGTATTGTACATTATCTCAGATTTCTATAGATTGTTTTTATTATTTAAAAGTGCAACTATATATTTTTTTTCTTTTTTAAAAAATCACTAAAATATATTTTTTAGAAAAAATTTATCACAATCGGTCTCTAAAATCCTCCTAGTTCTATAGATCATCTTAAAATGAAAACAACTAGCTAAGAAAAGATAGCCATTTTTACTAACTCAGACGATTTCAAAGAATTTATTTACTAAACTACCAAAATTTATTCAAAGAAAATGTCAAAATTCGTTGAATGAAAATTTAACTAGAAGAAATGCTTTTCTAAATTTAAGGGAAAGCATGTTGTTTTCAACTAATGAAAGAAAAGATGTTTTAACATCAAAAAGGATATCTGAAGAAGAAAAAGATGTAAAGAATGGTTTGAGGAATAGTAAGCGCTTAAGGTTTTGGTTAACTTTTTTTCTTATTTCCCCACTTTAGTGAAATTCAAAATGGCATATAAAATATATAAAAAAAACTTTTACCCCTTGGTCAACAAAGAGAAGTTTTTAGAATAGCATTTTTTAACAATGCTGCATAAATTTGATTTATTTTAGAAGACAACATAATAGATAAACAAGTGGACAGATTACAAAGGTTTTACTCCCTTATATTATATAGGAAAAATTTCGTTCTTGATAATTGAGGTCAATTAAGACAGGAGGTCAAGTAGATAGGTTTCTTTGTATTTTAAACTTATATTTCATGCATTAAATACTTGTAATACTTGTTTATCAAAAATTTTTATAGTTTAAATTTATTTGATTATGTGTAGGACTGGGCTATAAATCGATATATCGCGACATATCGATTTAACGTCTATATCGGCAAACCGATACAGCGACTTTCATTCCAAGCGATGCATCAGAAATCTGATTTAAGCCGTCGAGTGAAGAAGACGATATAGCGATACACGCAAGGACTTTCTCTTACGTTCCGATGCCAACTCGCGCTGTGGAAGACGATATTGTTTCGTTATGTTGAGACGGCCTTGACTGATGAGCGGTAGAATCAGAATCACTTTTGAGACCTTATATCGTTATATCACATGTTCGTTTTCGCAACTTCGCGATTTGAAATCGTTTCTTGTAGATTATTTTCAATGGGATTAACTTCGTGATCGCCGTCGTAACCTTGTTCTGAACGCAATCTATTATTGAAAAGAATTTATAAAGAAAAGTTTCTTCATTAATTAGGTAAGTTTTTTATTTATTTTCTGACAAAACTTTTTTTATATTTTTAAATGTGAAAATTATCGGAAATCTAATTTAAGGCACCCATAAGGAATTAAATTACAAAGTAAATAAATTTGTTAGGTTATTTTTTTACTTTCTTTTAATTTATTAAAAACCTTTCGGATAAAACTTCTAATAATTTAATGGGCTTCTATTACTGATTTTAAATTTATAAATCTTGAGTTGTTTTTATTTTTAGAAATAAAGTTAAAACAAAACTTATTTTTTGGACATAAGTCAATAAACTTTATTTGTTCAAAAGAATTTGAAAAGTTTGCGAATTTTATTCATTTCTTTTTTTTTTTTTTTTAATTACTACTTCGTTTTATTAGAGAGTAAAATCATTATTTTTTTTTAATTTTCGTTTTATATTATTAGTTAATTAGCTAAATATATTACCGAATATCACAATTCTTTTGTTTTTATTTTTAAGAATTTAATTAAGAAACTTTGCCTTACTTTGTTTTTCGTTCATAATTCGGTCATTATTTAATTTAATTTAATTATTTATATGAAATAATAATAAAAATAGTGTTTAAGAAGCATTTTTTTTCTAAAATTTATTTAGCTCTTTGTTTTAAGCATACAAATAATTTTTTAACGAACTTATTTTTTAAATTTTGTTCCTATGCTGTTAGGTAAATATATTGATAAATTTCACTTTTATTTATTTTTTTATTTTTAAACTAAGAAATCTTTTGTTATTTGCGTGATCATTTTTAGAAAATATAACAAAACTTGTGTTTACTTCTTCATTAAGAATTTGAACATTACGATCGAACTTAATAATTCTGTAATTATTTACGCATAATAGTACAAGCAAATATTGATTTGTTAAAAAAAGTTTCTTTTTTTAAAAAAAAAAAAATATTTTTAACACTTTGTTTTAAGTGTATAATGAATTTCTTAACAAACTTTTTTTTTAATTTTTTAAATTTTCTTTCAATAATTTCAGCTAGATATCTTTATAAAATTCCCTTTTTATTTTTAAACTGAGAAATCTTTCAGAGAACGAAAATTTTAAGAAATTATTACAAATCTTATGTTTACTTTTTAGTTTAAAATTCGAACATTTTTAATTTTAAACTTCGGCTTTTAGTCAATCTAACTTTTATTTTAATTAAAATATATTTTGAAATTTTAAAATCAGCTTTTGTTTAATAACAATATTTTTTTTCATTAAGGGTGTTTTAGGGGTTAACTTGAATTAAGACTGCTTATACTTTATAAACGATAAAGAAGTGCAAATATTTCATTCTGTATCTACACACATTTTTTCAATAAATATTTTAAGTAAGATTTGTACATCTTAGTCAATTTATTTAATATCTTTCTTTAGCAAAACATATATATTTTCAAGTTTATAAATTGATTTAAATCAATATGCGTATGAAGTCTTGATAGAAATCTGACTTTCTGTGCCTTAAAGTAAATGAAATTCAAAAATACTATATCGCGATACATCGCTATATCGCGATGCAAAACTGACGATATATCACGATATATAATTTCTAATATCGCCCAGTCCTAATTATGTGTTTTAATGCATATTTAAAATTTAAACTATTATTAAAAAATTAAAATCTTTTTAAATTAAAAATTTTTATAACGTAAAACTAATACGTTTTGTTATTTAGTACCTGTGATATATTTTAATTATTCAAAAATAACTGGTGTGTCCCTTTTTTAAAAAAAATGGAAGATAAAAAATTTTTTGTGATTTTCTTTCATTTGAAGCAAGTTCAATTCTTTAGTAATAATAATTGAATGAATCAGCTAAAACTGTGGATCCTCTTGGTTACACCACTGGAGGATGATGCATGTTTGTTTTGAAAACTTGATCTTGCTTAATTTCAGTGTCACTGTTTTAATATCTTTATCATCTTATACCAGAACAGGGATTCCTTCAGATTTAAAAAAAAACTCAGGTCTTCTAAATTTCTGGAACTTTTTTTTTGCTTAAAATAGGACCCAATTTAAAGTATTAATTCCTTTTTCAAAGATTTACGAAAAAAGTAAATATTTCATGATAAGAAAAATGAAATAATTTCTTTGCGATAAGTTACATTTAACTGAAATCTTATAACCGCCAAGCAATTTTAACATTTTCATGGTTTGCCTTTGCATATAGCGCAAAGTCTGATTATTTTAATTTAAACTTATATATAATAAGATATTCTAATAACTTTCATTAATATGATTTTACTCCGATACATAAATTGCAAGTTACTTCGATTTCGGGGTTGAGTTAAAAATTATAAAAATAAAAGCGTTTCGTTATATTCACAAAGATGATAGGCTGTCTCTCAAGGATGCCTAAATAATGATTGATTATAAAAAAAAATATTTTTATTGCGATAATGAGCATTTAGCTGGAATCTTATTACCATCAAGCAATTTGGAAAACATTTTTGTGTAAACCAAAATATGACTATTAATGTAAATAAATAAATTCAACAATGCTTCAATATTTACTTAAATAGTGAGCTATTCTGTTTCTCTGCCTTTTATTGAGCATGCGATTAATTGCAGCTTATCAACAAGACTTTTTCGGCTAAAAGGAAATGATTTGTCAGAATTGGATAGGGATATTTTTTCTATAATTTAAATAATCGATCGAGCGTTGGTACCTGACAAACTTATTCATCACGACTTAAACTTTATAAGGTACTTTGTACTTTTATTTACGTAGCACTAGAGCTGTACAATGAGCTGTTGGCGAAGGTCTGGCAAACATCCCTGAGGGTGATCCAGAAATAACATACATAAGTCACATCCCGTTTTACTTGGAGGACACATTCACACACTATCCATCCACAAATCGTAATTTTTATCGGAACATGAGCAAGATCAATCTCCGATGCAGTACCTCCAAAGGTATTGATCTACCATGGTAACTTGGAGGACTTTGTGTTACAGACAGATTTAACATGTACTTACTAGTCACCATTTTGTACACGAGGAGTCTTCTGGCGGTAAGGATAGTACTCTTGGACATAGGCCCAACGCCTTACCATCAAGATTATCTCGGCCTCCCTTAACTCTAATAGGATTCTAAACACGCTTATAAAGAGTTGTGATTGATAGATCCTCTATGTGGTCGAATTCATAATAAATGCTACAAATAATTGTTTTGAGAAAGAAGATATATTTTCAATTTTCGTAGAAATAATTGAACGAATTTATGGGTCCAGCAGTGGACTGATCGTTAAGACACGGTTCCCAGCAGATCACCGTAGTCAAGCATCACTGGCTACGGTCAGTGTGCGGGTGGGTGACCACTTGGATCAGTCTGCGTAGGGACCGAGGGTGTGCGGTATTGGTCCTCGTTAAACTGTGCTACCGTAAAGTGCTCGACTTCGCGCGCAGGTCGTCGGGCTACCGAAGCGGGGTGCCATTCCCTCCGCAGAGGATCAAAATTGTAATGGCATGTCTTCGGATCATCCTCCGGGATGTTTCCCAGACCGTCGCCAATAGCCCATTGTGCAGCTCTAGTGCGACGTAAATTAACAACAACAACGAATTTATGGCACTATTGCTAATTTTTTTCCGCAAAAGATTGTGTTATTTCAGCAATTTAAATTAAAATGATTATAAAACAACAATAGTAAATTATTTAAATTAAAAAAGTTTTAGTTTTGTTTTTAACATAAGTTCTGAATACCGGAACTGAACGAAATCGAAACTTAATTGAGCCTAATCTGAATGATCCCCGGTTTTAAAGCATTCAATGTGCAATCAATCTACTTCATACAATATATAAACATCTTTAAGCAAAATAAGGAAATAATGTATTGGTTTTCAGAAATAAAAAAATTTCAGAATTCAGATTAAACAACATTTTGATGATCAACACTAATTACGCGCAATGCTTATGTTCCGAGGGAATGTCGGAAAATAGTACCTCTAAAGATGCAAGCGCTACTTTTTAAGTGTAAAATCTGATTAATTTAAGGAGCATTCTAGCTGCATGTGATTTACGCATTTTTGATAGGTCTGAATTAGTCCTATCATTCAATCAATTTTTAGATCATGTGACGTAATTCGTTTCAATCACGTGCTCTTTTGTTTTCATCCGGTTTCATTTTTGAACAAGTACTTTGTTTGAAATCATAAAACAGATAATGACTTATCTGATTGCTATTTCATAATTAAACATCTTTTTCGATAAGTTTAAGAGTTTTCACGTGATCCATTGTTTTATTAGCATATCTGTTTCTTAAAGAGTTAAAACTAGTTTGACAATCAATTTTAATCTAACATATTGTTTGTAATTCAAAAGATAAATCTAGCAGACTGATAGTTTTATTTTTAGCGAGTTCAGTACAACTGGATTTTTCAACTATCTACAGCATGCAGTATGTGTTTATGTTATTTTTTAAACATTTTATTTTCTTTCTTTCTAAAATAAAAGTACTAATTGATCTCATTTAATTAGGTACCTAAAATTTTTCTTATTGTTTGCTGTGATTTTTGCTTCGGCAACTGCTCATCCAGATGAAGTGACTGATTTACCTGGTTTAAATTTCACAATAAATTACAAACATTACTCTGGATATCTAAATGCTACTTCTGGGCGACATTTGCATTATTGGTAAGCATGTCTATTATTAGTTTCTCCACCAAATACAAAGGTAATAAAAATCGTATTTTTAATTTTTTTTTTAAAGAAAGTAATAAAATCCCCTTTTCCTTCCTCCAAAAAAACTAAGCCACAAAAAACGAGTTCTTTAAAAAATAGCCTTTGTTTTATCCAAAAGATTTTTTTTCTACGAAAAAACATTTGATTTTTTCCCAAAGAAAACACTAATGCTATATTTCCACAAATATACTTCACTCTAAAGTATAAGTGTGTATATATTTAGAAAGTGATTGGATATCTACTATCTATTCATAGTAGCCTCAATCTATTGTAGTCCCTGATTATATTATTCAAAATTCCATATTTGATATTTATTTTAGATGATCTGCTATTATAGAGATGATAAATGTATCTTCAATTCTCTTAAACATTTAAATTCTATACCTTTATTAAAGACCTTAAGGCTGAACATAGTTAAGTTACTGATATAGCTCTGCCTAGCCAAGATAATTGAATGAAAAACTTTCCACTACCTGTGTCAATTTAAATAAATTTTTCTGTAAACAATGTAACTTTTGTAAAATAAGTTTCTTTAAAAATATCATACTATTTGTATACATAATATTATTTGTATATATAATATAAAAATATATTACTATTGTATACTTTGTTCATCAATAAAAAAAGTCTTTTTTTTTTTTTCTTTCTAAAAAAAAAAAGAACGAAAACATGGGCAAAATTATGGGTTTTTAAAATTTTTTTATTATTATAATTTTTTTTGATACAACTCGATTTCGCTCAACCTTGATCATTAATTTATGACAGTACTTGTTTTTATAGTCAAAATGAAAACATATAATTTAATGTTAATCAATTTTTTAGTAAATTTAATAGAGAAGAAATAAAATTCAAAGATAAATAATAAAATAAAGTAGCTCTCCTTCATAATGTTGAATATAATTTTAGGCTTTAATAATGTCGAATGTAATTTGAGGTTATCAGTAAAATCAGTATTTTATTTTTTATCTCATTTTTTAAAAAAATATAAGTTTTGCTTAAGTCACAACTTTTTTAGGAAGTCTTCTACTCCTATGATGAGGATGATTTCTTGCATTAAATTTAAGCTGGAATCAATAATAATAAAATAAAAATCAAGAATTTTAGTTTTTTATGTTTTTGAAATCTAAAACAATTCTAAATATTAGTTCAACATCATTCAATAATTATTCAAAAAAAAAAAAAAAAAAAAGAANAAAAAAAATCTGAAATATTCTTTAAAACTAAAATTATTTTGCATTCATGAAGCACAATATAATTATAATTTTGTGTTAAGACATTTTGTTAATATGTTTATTGTAACAAATTGAATGATTGCCTTGTTGAGATTTAAAAAATTAATCTACTGTGCATGGAAAAAAGGTATTTTAACTTAAACTTAGGAATATAGAATGTATGACACATTAAGAAGTAAAAAATTAATCTACTGTATTTAAAAAAAAATTTTTTTTTTTACTTAGGAATATAGAATATATGGCACATAAGGAAGTAAAAAATTTTTATTGTAATAAAATAAATGATTGTTTAGATTTAAAAAAATTAATCTAATGTACTTGAAAAAAAATATTTTTACTTAAGAGTATAGAATGTATGACACATAAAGAAGTAAAAAATGAGGAATAATTTTAACTTGTTAGAAATTCCTGATCTCTATAGATTACTGGATTGTTGATATGAGAAGACATTCTAAACGGTGAAAGATAAACTAATTGAACTAAAATGTTGGAGCCATTTCCAATTTGAAGTTGGAGATTTCTAAAAGAGCCACACTCAAGGAGCAAAAACAGTCGCATTTGGCTCGCAAGTCATGGTTTGCCGACCACTGCACTAGTTCATTAGTTTTTAACCCTATCCAACCGTTTGCCTATATATTCTGATTATTTGCTCTAACTTGGAATATTCTTCTCTTACTCCACCTGAGTTTATAAAACTCAGGTGGAGTAATACTTCAGTTTGTAAAATTAATAATACTTTAGTATGTAAAATTAATTAAAGTAGGAAAGTTTTAGTTCGTAATTACTTATGCTAATTTTAATGTATCCCTTCCCAAATGGACAATACTTGTCTTAGGTTAGATCAGCTGTACAAAATTGTTTTGTTTATACTGTTATTAAAAAGTCTGCTTATTTTAAACTGTTTGTAACTTATAGGTTTGTTGAAAGCCAAAATTCACCTTCTACTGATCCATTATTGTTGTGGTTAAATGGTGGCCCTGGTTGTAGTTCTCTAGATGGGTTTTTGAGTGAACTTGGTCCTCTTCATGTGCAAGATGATGGAAAAACACTCTACGACAATCCTTATTCTTGGAATAAAGTGAGAATTTCAGTATAAAAATTACTTAACGAACTATGGTTAATGACTTGAGTAATCAATAAATGTTAATAACAGAAAAGGAGATATTAAATTAATTAAATGATTACTAACAAACTAAGAGGTATATGATCTTTTTAAAATTGTTATGAATTTAAAAGATAAGTATAGATTTTCGGTCTTTTGTTATCCATGAAATATGTAAAAAAATGATAGTAGTGATTTACAAAATGTGAATTTCTTTATATGCAGATAGCAAATGTGTTGTTTTTGGAGGCACCAGCTGGAGTTGGTTTTTCTTATGCTGATAATAAAAAGTATGACACTGATGATGATACAACTTCCTATGACAATTATGTAGCACTTCAGAATTTCTTTGAAAAATTTCCTCAATTTAAAAGTAATGACTTTTATATTACCGGTGAGAGTTATGGAGGCATTTATATTCCCACTCTTTCTGTAAGAGTACTAACTGGTCCTGCCAAAATAAACTTCAAAGTAAGTATGTCTAATGTTTTAATTTTTATTAATTCTAAATTTATCTAAGTCTGCTATGCTGATTATTTTTTTTTATCAATTCTTCAAAATCAGAAAAAAATGTTCTTTATTGTTTTATGTCAATGTGAGCAAAAAAAAAAAAAAAAAAATTTCTTTATAAATTTTAAGATTTATTTGACATAACTATAATACTTCAACAAATTTAATTTAGGATTAATATTTTTTATTTATTTTTAAGAAGAAATGTCTTTTTTTTTTTTTTTTTACATAAATGGAATTCTTTACTTATTTCTCCCCTTTATTTCCTAATTGAATAAAATATTTTTATTTGCGCCATTCCTCTTGCCCAAACTTAGTCTTCATTCTTGGTCTTTGACATCACTGCTATTGTATTATATACTTGTATTTAAGATTTTAATTTATCGCTGTGAAAAAAATACCTTTTTTTTCCCAGGGCTTTGCTATTGGAAATGGATATCTAAATGCACAAAATTTAACTAATTCAATTGTGTTTTTTGCTTACAATCATGGTTTAGTTGGAACTGAGTAAGTTGAGCAGCTTAATTATTGTCTAATATTAATTTTTTTCTCATATTCAGACGTGCCAACTCTCCCGCATTTTGCGGGAGTCTCCCGAATTTTGAGTTATTCTCCCGCCCTCCGGAATTGATTTGAAAAACTCCCGAATTTTACTGCGATCGACGGCCAAACTCAAAATTACCTAATTTTTCCGCGAGTGCGAAGGTAAGTTTTTCNATATTTAATAAATTTTTTACTTAAAATTCCTTAGAAGTGCCAAATGTTGCATACCATGCACCTTTTTTTACCCCTCCTGAAATCTCCTGAATTCTTGTTAGGGAAACTCCTGAATGTTAATTTTGCTAGGTTGGCACGTCTGCATATTACTTATTATACTGCTATTGAGGAGAGTATTTTCTTATTATAGATTTACTTGCTTAGATAATATATAAGTAAAATGTGATACACTAAGCTTTTCATATTCATTTAGCTATTCATATTTATCAATTAAATAAGCTGATAAACTTATTAAATCTATGAATTTTATGTTTACTAGTTTTTAACATAATGTATTAAATGAGTTTTACTACCATTATTAAATTTTCTTTTTAGAGTATGGAGCAATTTGGAAACATATTGTTGTGGTGGTGTTGCATCAATAAACACTTGTAATTTCTATGAAAATCTTTCATCTAAGTGCCAAGCTGCTGTAAGTTATTTAATTTGCTTGAAGATAAATTTTAATAGTTATAAATGAAAATAAGCTTTTCATTAAAAATTGTTTAAAATACAGAATGGTATTCATTTTAAAATAAAAATAAAATATTTCTTTCCCTACATTGCCTTAGTCATGGTAAATGATAATTTTGCAGTGTAAGTCATGGTTAACTATTTTCTTGTTATTTTTTTTAATAGAGTAAACATATTTAACTTAACATTTATTAAATTTAAACATATTTGTTAAAATAATATTTTCAACTGTCAAAATCTACCTTGCCAAACCTGTTTTAAAAAAAAGTTTCTGCTGAGTTATTCTTTTTCATTGAAAAAAGAGGAACTAGTTTGCTATGTCAGATCAATTAGGCTCTATTCAAATCACTCTGGGGGTAAATAAAAGATTTTTGATCCTGAGGAACATAAAATTGTTAGTAATTTCGTTTCAGTTTAGTTGAGAATACCTGTTTTTGTGCTATACATCTGTTAATTTTATCAGTTCTTCTCCGAAGTAAAATTAGCCTGGCATTTTCAGGATCAATATCTATTTTTCTTAAAATATACTAAAGAAATTTTAAACACTCAAATTTAAAAATAATTTTCTTTTAATTATTAAATTAATTATTTAATTATCGTTTTAAATTCTATTTCGTGAAAATTTCCTCAATAGGAATTGTAATTAATCTAATTTAAATTATAATAATTATATATATATTTTTTTAACTAAGGTGAATGATGTCTCTGTGATTGTTGGTAACTCAGGGTTGAATGTTTATAACTTATATGCTGATTGTGCTCATTCTGAAAGTACTGGTAGTGGAGCATCAAGATATTCTGTTGACAAAAGAAACCTTCAAAGACTCCTAAGCAAATCTTTAAATGTAAGTAAATTTTTATTTATATTTTACTGACAAACATTTGTTTATATTTTATGGGAAATATTTGATTTTGGTTTATTCAATATTAAAACAATGCACGTTTTCCCAAATATTTTGTGCTTTTGCATTTTTATTTTTTCCTGGCATTGGTATATAAGAAAAAAAAAATCTTCAGATCTGGTATAGAAAACTCAAAATTTTTAACTCTGAACTTTTTTTAAGTAGATTTTTACCTAATGCTAATAAAATAAAAAAAGTTAAAAATGAAATATTTTCATTGAGAATAAAATATTTATCTTATCTCTATGATTAAGACATACAATGACAATTTTTAAACACATGTTCTTCTCAATTTATACTTATATATATATATATATATATATTTTTTTTTTTTTTCAACTGAAAAACAGGGTTGAAAAATCTTGGTTTTCATGGTGCCTAATAATTTGTAACTGGTGCTTAAATGATTTCTGTCTCTTTAAAATATTTCTCAAACTAAAAAATTTGAATATTTTGCCCCTGTTTCAAACTAATTGTTTTCTTTCTTATTTTATGTGCAAAATTTAGAGGTATGTTTCTATATAGTTTGCTATAACCATACGTAACTGATTATCACATAATAATTAACTAATTGTTGTTATCAGATCTTAGCTTTTTCTCATAACTAAATCTAATACTTTTTTTGTGTCTTTTTTTATTGTGTTTCATATTTTTTAATCTGTGTTTCAAACTCAGAGACTGAAAAGTTTTACCCCTGTTTTTAAGTATGGTGAAATCATATGTTACAGACACTGCCACTAAACAAACGCCTTTCCTTACAGACATCTTTTTAAATTCCTAATGAATCCCCTATGAATAAACCATCATGTATTCTCTCGTAAAACGGTCACTCTCGTAACCAGATGCAAATTGTAATGTATGGCCTGAAACAACCTCTGTTATTACACAATTTCTGTTATCTTAACAATTTCTGTTTTAAAGTCCATAAATATATAATTTTTTCCAAAATTTTTAAACCATGCAAATTTTTGCCTTATCGATAACTAAAAATATTGCTAAGCTATTTCACTATTAGAGAACTAATTTTTCACCTATCTTTGCAAAGAAAGGAGGGAAAATTATGATGCTCAGGTGAAATATTTTGGACAGCTGCATCTTTCGTCTGTATGATATAGACTATGAGACCCCTTCAAATTGAAATGATGCATTAAATGCTCTCAATTCTTCTTCCCTACTAAAAATTCATATCTTCTTCTAATCAATTTTACCCCTACATTAAATACAGCTGGGATAAAAAAAGAGAATTAATGTATACATTTGCAGTTAATTTATTAAATATATTTTGTGCAGGATATACAAGATGATCCACCTTGTACTGATTCTTCTAATTTAAGGAAATTTTTAAATCAGCCATCTGTTCGCAAAGCTCTTCACATACCAACATTTGTTCAAGATTGGGATATATGCAGGTTAGTTTTATTGACTGTTTATTTATTTCAGGCTTCAAGGGGATTTTTTATATTATTTTAGACAATTTTAATATTTTTATTTTAGGGTTAGGCAAAAAAAAATATTAAATTGTTAAGTATTTCATTCATATTAAAAATTTTCAGTATATGAATCTCCATGTAGGACTTACCTCCTTTGTTTGACTTCAAAGTGGATTTTTTTTCTTTGTATAGTCTGTGTGCAAGCCAGTCTCTGAATCTACACTTGTTGAAAATAAAATTTGAATTTTTAAATATCAATGAATTAAAAAAATTTATGAAATGAACAAATTTTTTTGAATAAGAAATTATTTTACTATAATTATTGAACAATTAATTATTTTAAAATATTTTTATAGTATTTTATGTATTCAGAAATAAGCAAGGATAATTTTTTTTGGGCAGGAAACTATGAATTATAATTGCAACAAAAAAGAAAGAGAGAGAGAAATACAAGTTATTTTTAGTGCTGGCTGTATTCATAAAAATGAGTATGAGTACTAGAGCTTACTAAAGGATTAAAATTTTTTTTTGTTGGGTCCTTCAACATTTGCTCATTTAGTGCTTCTATTTCTTTTTTACTCATCCAATAAAGTAGACTTCAAGATATAGACAAAAGATGTATTTGATTTAACATCACATACAGTGTACCACAAGTAGGTTTGTTACTTAACACTCCCAGGAAATAAGCACTAATGAAGTATTAGTCTAAATGTGGAGTTATCATAAGACCAAGCAATGAGTGGGAGAGAAAGAATGGAATTTGTGATAATGAACATAAGCAATATTCACAAGACAAAAAAAATATGTCAAGGAACTGAATGTGAAATTTCAAATTAATTGATTGTTAGTAGGACTGAACGACATAAGAAATTTCATGCTGTTATATCAATTATCATTATGATGTCTTAGACATCACAGTATAGCTATGTAACATAAGTTCTAATATTGTTTCTTTTTAATGAAAACTACACAATCATAAAAACTTATAACAAAAGTAAATGTTAATTATAAAAAATGCTTTTATGTCATTGTTTAAATTTTTTAATAAAAATGATGGACTGGAGACCGAATTTTAAAAGTAAAAACAAGTATAAGCTTTATTTAAAAAATTTTTTTTCAAATTAGAAATTTTTTTCGATTTAATGGTTTAAAAATAATAATAGACTTCTATCAAAATATTTTGCTTCTATTTGTTATAATTTTTTTTTTAAAAAAAAGATGAGTACAAAACAAACAAAAGTAATTGTACACTTAACTATAACAAAGACGAAGTTTTAAATTATTTTGGAGAAAAAACATGCTTTTGAAACAGTGCTAACTATTTTTTTTATGTATTTATTTAAAATAATGAAGTTGTATTGACTAATGGCCAAATTCTATATGTAATAAATGTAAGTTTTGTTTTATTTATTTATTTAATTATCCTTTTCTTTTTAAATATAATTGACTTTAGATTTATTAGTTTAAAAATAATACTGAATTTCTATCAAAATATTTAACTTACATGTACCAAAAGAAAATTTAAAAATAATAAAATTAATAGTTAACAAGCAAATTCATTATAACAAAGTATAAATTATTTAAATATAAAATACTCCTATTAAATTGTATCCCTTTAAAATAAAAAAATGTTAAAAAATACAAAGCAATTAATTTGAAAATTTTTTCAATACATATATTTTTGCAAAATACATTGAGTTCAGAATGAAATAATGCACATCAATCGCAAAGTAACAGAAGTCCTACTAAAAGCAATCTACAAAAAACGTTAAATCCTAAAAAACAATTGACTAAATAATTATTTGTCAATTGTAAAAACAATTGATGAATTAGGTAGCAGTAATCTAGCTAAAAATATTTTGCACGAAACGTTCCATCCATGTTGAAGGAAGATAAAAAATTGCACAGCTATTGCAAAGTAACAGAAGACCCACTAAAAACAATCTTCAAGAAACATTGTAAATCAAAAAAAAATTTTTGCAAAAAGAAACAATGCCTGGCATTCTACAGCATAATGCTAATCTCTGCACGAAACCATGATTTCCGATTAAATTCGTTCTTGCTATTCAATATCACAAAAAAATCATTGTTTTCATAGCGAAACAGTTTGTCAAAATCAGCATCATCTTTATAGCTAGAGGAAAATAAAATCTTCGTCACCGTAGGCAAGGATCCCTTATTGTTAATCTTATATCGTTAGTTTACATCACAAGCATCTTTGTAAATAGGCGAATTAAATCACAGTTTCGATGCATCGAGAGAAATGAAAGCCATTACATTGGCGAGTCGATGTATGCATTAAATCAACATATTACGATGTATAGCCTAGTCCTGATTGCTTGTAAGGTTGATCATTTATCAAAATATATCTGATAATGAGTACTAATGTAACTCCTTATAAACCATTATTTTATGTTTCCTTAGTTCTCCAATTGGTAGCATAATCTGGACTTGGTACCCCAAATTTCTGAAGACCCTGTTTATTTTAAATTAGGTTTATGCATTTTCTTAAAAAAAAAAAAAGCATATATCTTACTTTAAACTAAAAGAACTTGTAAGAGATCTTTTTTTTCTTCTTTCTTTAATCAAAACTTTTCTGTAAACCTTCTATTTCTTTAAAATCAAAAGATAAGCATTTTTTTATGGCTATGAGGAATAGCTATTGCTGAAGAAAATAAAATATATTTTCTTGAAAAATTATTGCAAATGCTTTCTTCACAAAGAATTTGATAAAAATCTGTTTTTTTTTTTTTTTTTTAAATTGAAATTTGAAAGACTAAAGATAAAGCTTTTTTCATTGTGGAGTAAGAAAAACACAAACTATTTTCGACCAAGAAGAAAACATGACTAGGGTACTTTTCTCCTGGTGTAAGGCTGTAAGGAAAAAAATTGCACGTGCAACTTACAGTCGACTGAAAAAAAAAATCCATATATTCAGTTAATATATTTTCTTTGTGTGATAAAATGTGTAGCCAAGTACATAGATTGTAGCATGCTCTTTAAAATTTAATATTGAAAAAAATGTTTTTCTTCTTTAAAAAAAGATTATTGGCTTAGCACGTAACCAATGTTTTAACATGAAAATTAGCAAATTTTCATGCAAATAAATTTTCCAGTTTTTTTCTTTTGTAAAAAATGATTTAAAAAGATAACTTGGTTTGTTAAAATTTTTCATTAAATCTTATAAAGTAAAATAATAATAAAAGAAATAATTATTTTGTCAGAAGTCGTTACATTCAGTGACTATCACAGTAAATCTGGAATATAGAGTTCCTTAATATTAAATCATGTGATTAAAAAAACTATTTTACATTGATTAAAATATGCACAAATTTTTTTTATCTAATTTAATGACTAAAATATCAAACTCGAACCAAAATTAAAATTTAACTTTATATTAAAAAAAATTCATTTACCTTAGCTTATACCTATCTTCTGTGTTAAACCTTGATCAGGGTACTTTTTTTCTTTCGTTTCGCAACTTTATTGCATTTGTTATTTCGTAACTTGCCTTTGCTTAAAATTTAATATGAAGTGACATCAATTTATAAGATCAATTGAAATTTTTTTAAACATAATTATTAAAATTGCATTTTAATTGATCTTACAAATAATACAAGCTTCAGATTAAAAACAGCTATTGTGCTTTTTAGGGTTAAGTTAACATCTGTCATATTTTTATATAGTGAGAAATTAAATCAAAAGTTATACAGGTCGCTTATTTTCTTTTAACTGTTCACTTTCTGATGTTTTCTTACTATATATAGTTTCTCAATATTTAACTAAAATTGAGAAAGTAATAGAGTAATGTGTTATTTCAGTCTTGATGTTGAAATTGGATACCAAAGAATATATAACACTATGGTTCCACAAATGTTGAAGTTAATTGGATCTGGAAAACTTAGAGGACTCATTTATAATGGTGATGTTGATATGGCATGCAACTTTTTAGGCGATGAATGGTTTGCTAATGAATTGGGATTAAAGGTAATGTTAACACAAATTTATTTAATAACCAATAAACTCTTAAGGTAATTCCCAATATTTAATTTTTTTAAACATTTTAAATCAATTATGTTAGATACTATAAAGTCACTCAACCATATGTTGATTTAAATAAATTACAAATAGCTGTTTTATTACAATCTAGATAGTTTGATGTTAAGTTTCCTTGGAAAATATTTAAATTGAAAAATTAACTGTATGATAAACATATTAGAAACAGGTTTATCGTGTTGTTAGTTTCTCAGCTAGGAACTTCTGAAATTTTTCTGACTCTTTTTCTCTGTTCATTTTGAAATAAAAAACTGTAAAGACTGATATTTGATTTTGTGGCTCCGTCTGGTTAGTAACTAAAATAAACTGGTGGTGTACTATTTATAAAATAAGATTAGAATGGTTTGTTTCTCTATAGCGTTGGATATTTATTATTTCTTTTCTACTGTATTAGTATTTTTTGTTTATATATCATTTTAGTATTTAAAAAAAAAAAAAAAATGTACATTTACAGAGTAGAAATTGTGCTAAATACACACAAATTAAATAGCAAGCATAAAGTTATTAAACTATATACTCAACATTATTTTATTACACTTTATTTGTCCCACATTCATATATGTATGTGTATGAATGTGGGCAGACGAATAGCAATATTTCACTTAAATGTTTGACATTGAGACCAAAGACTGACCAGAGTGCCATCTATTGAGAAAAAAGAAATGTATTTTTGCCATCCGTGGATATTAAAAGTTAGGTTTTTTTCTCTCCATACAGTTCAATCATTGTCACCCTTTAGAATGTTATTCATCTTGTTATACACACATAAATGAATTTCTACTAAATGTAGTTTTAGTCTTATTCTATTTCATTTTATGCATGTTAAATAAACTTTTAATTTGATATAATCAAATCAAAATTAAATACTATTTGTAAATTATTTGACTTATTTCATGGCTATATTGTGAATAAAAGTGATTTTCATGTTTGATAATCTTTTTTTCTCTGAAGGTTTCAAAGAATTATACACCTTGGAAATATAATGATCAAATAGCTGGTTTTGTAAAGTATTATAAGAATCTGTCTTACTTAACTATCAAGGTAATTTTTTTATTCCTATCCAACTAACATAAAGTGACTATTTGACCAGGACAAAAATTCAGCACTTTCAGACTAGAATTTTTTCAGATTAAAATAAATTTTTTCCTTCTTTTTTATATAATATGAAATGGTATCATCAATATTTTCATATATGAATTTCTAATGCTACTATACTTTTAATTGTTTAGCAAAATATGTTTTATTTTTCTCTGATATAAGTGGCATTTTTATGTGTAAGAGATTTTAAATGTACTAACAAAATATTTTACATATTTTTGCTATAATAGAGAGAAGAAATTAAATTTCATGATATAAAAAAAGTTATAAAATCATTACAATAAAAATATTTTTTTTTCAGTATTCCTTATGATTATATTTTATGTTGAGACGTAACAGGTAGATGTGTTTTGGAACTTATTTTTAAAAAAGGTCAAATGTAAACAATAATTTATTTTAAATAACTAAATATTAGCTGTTATATATATGCAAATTTTTCTTGCAATTAATGAAAAAAATTGGAAGTTGTTATGGAGAAATATTCAAAGGAGGACATTGGCCCACATTGCACTGTTCAGCTAACTATGATGATTACGTAGCGAAATAATTTGTGTTCAGATATTTTTAAGCAGTTTAAAAATCATAGTAGTCTTGTTTAAGATTTGTGCCACTTTAAAGGAACATTTTTTCTTCCTTTAATTTTTTATTAAATTTATTTTAATAATATAAATTAAACAAATGTCTTTGTTTTTTGATTACAACTTAATTGTTAATATCACTTTTATTGAAAAAATACTGTGCGTGTACTGTTGTAGTGTATTAATAACTGAAAATGTTGGGAATTGGTATTGCCACTTTTTTTCCCCCACGGCTTTTAACATGCTAACAGTTGTACCAGCCATTAGCAGAAAAACAAAAACTATTAAACAACTTGATAGATTTGCAATTTTAAGCTTAATTAAAAAAAATAGGATAACATTTTATTTCACTTATTTTATGTGTGTGACAATATTAATTCAAAACAAAATGGTTTTCAGTACAGTGTAAATAATTTTTTGCAAAAACTTAGTTTAGAATGCTAAATAGGTTATCACATAAATCAATCCCTAATTTTAATTACACCTGATATATCAGAAATTTGCTAAGTCAAACGCTGAAAAAACTTACATATAAAATTTTCTAAAATTAAAAAATTATGAAGTCTAGAAAATTGTCTCAAGTTTAAACTCTTACAAAAACAGGACATTTCCGTGCTTATCTGTAACAAAATGTGGATTCAAATGTTATTGTAAAATCTTTTAATAGAGTAGAATTTTTTTGAGTGACTGCAGATGAGGATGATGCAGAATCCATTGCGGAGTGGGATTCGTACGACAGCACTGCTGTCATTGAATCCGACGCAGATGTTCTGGAGTCTAAATTTGAAGCTTCATGTTAACTTTTAAAAGTTTTGATTGCATAATATTTTTAGAAATGCTTTTGAATATAAGGTCAAAGCTTCACAAGCACTTGCTCAAAGGGCCAATTATACATTTTGAGGTTTCCTCAAAACTTTTCAACCAGGGTTGGCAAGATTTTGCCACAGGTGAAAAAAAACCATGGTAAATACCGGTAAAAACTGTCCTGGCAAAAACCTATATTTTCCAAGATGAGTGGACAAAAACACATTTTTGATACAAAATTATTCCTAAAATTGAAATATATACTATAAATATAAACAATTACAAAAAAATTAACAAAATTATTATTCCATAATTAAATCATAATGTAATAATATATCCTTTTAGTAGTTTAAAACATTATTGATTGGAAAATTTGTGATTATTCTCTTTTTTCCAGTGAAATGAACTTATTTTAAATTAATGTAACTATAATTTAAAGCATAAAATATCTATCAACATGTGTAGTTAATTATTGTACAAATAATAATTTTTTATAATAAATAATAATATTATACAAATAATAATATTTATTTATTTGTAAAAAAACATTTATTTTAGGATTCTAAAATGAAAAGAGATCAAAAACTTTCAATCTTTTGAAAATTATTACCCTTATATTAATTATTAATATGTTAAAATTTTTTTTTCTTCATGTAATGTATCAAAATTATTATTCCTTATGATTGATTTAAATTTGTTTCAAGTATTTTGTAATAATATTTAATCAGCAATTTAGATAATTTGGATTATGCCGGTTTTTACCAGTTTTTTGCCACTGTCCTGGCAAAAACACCAACCCTGTGTTAGTAATGTGTTCAACACAACAATTATAAACAAAGTTTAAATTATACATGTGATATAATATGCAAAATGTTTGAGAGTTAACTAAACAATAAGTCTATACTATACTTGTTAATCAAAAACATATAACAGTCTGGATAAAGAAGTAAATACATTGATTTTTTATTAGTAAAGTCTATTAGTTTTTTATTAGTATATTTACACAAAAAAATGTGAAAAAAATTATAGTTTTGTTTATTTTATTCTTCTGTAATGTCTATGTAATTAAATTATATTATATTTTAGGGTTCTGGACACATGGTTCCACAAGACAAACCTGGACCAGCTTTCCACATGATATCAAATTTCCTCAGTAACAAACCATTTTAACAATTTTGAATTTATTTGTTGTGGTATGTATTTCTTTTTAATAAAATTGAAAACAGAGCATTAAATTACTTGAATGATATTTTAACTGAAATTTTTATATACTAACAAAAAATTATAAACTTTTAGCTTACTTTATCACTGATCATTTAATATCTCTCATAGTAAAAATTGTCTTTAAAATTTTTAATTAAATGCCTAATCCTGTTTATTTTTAAATTAATTCCATCGATCTAGGTTCTGATGTGGTTATGACAGACTGCTTACAAGAAGTATTAAGATATTTTAAATAAAAATAAGGTTAGATGAAATAATGTGAATTTTACAGTTGTAAATAGACAACTTACTCCAATGTTATTTTTAGTATAGCTGTACTACTATATATACATATTTGTTCTCTACTAAGAGGATTTTATTTTTTTAGATTCCTAAAAATACTGGAAACGGAGCTGTGATTTATTATTTTTTACATATTGTTACTTTTGTAATATAAGATTCATTAAAGAATTTAACAATGCGAAATCTCTGCTTTGTGACTTTCTGTATAGGGTTTATTACACTAAATGAAAAATATAGGTCATTAAAGGTTTGAAAAAGAAAATGCTAATGAAAAGAAAAAAAAATCTAATTGTAGTAGCTAAGAGTATTTTTTAAGCATTAACTAGGATTTCGACGTTATCCAAATTCAATTTATACCTTCAGAAAAAAATGTGCTGTAGTAGACAATTTATCAAAATCTTCATGCCAAATTTTCTGTCGTATTTCCCTTATCTAAGAGTGAGTTTAGTTAGCTTGATGTATCCAAGGTTGCATTGGCAAAAATGTGGTAAATGTCTCAGCAATTTTTAATACTGATAAAGATCTTTTAAATTAGACAATTTTCATAGCCAGTGTTCCTACATTTAAATATCAATTAGCTGTAAAGGGAAAAAAAAGCAACAAAGTTAACAGGTTAAGTAATTGAAAAAACTACATGTTCTATACTTTTCTTTATTTATGTATAAATGCCATTTTCCATTGTTACACATACCTACAAAGATTCTTCATCAAAAGCGAAGCTTTGGGCTCAGTAAAAAAAAAAAATTTACAAGTAAATAAATGAAAATACAGACAAAACACACACAATAAGAACATTTTTTTCAAAATTAAATAAATGCTCCAATGATTCATTATTGGCATTTCAAACAGTTTTTTTTGTTGCTATATACAGTGCCTTAATTCAATATTCAAATTGCACAGATTTCTTTGGAAAATATATCTGCATCAATTACTTACAAGGACTGATTTGATAATTTTCAAAATTATTGTGAAGAGTGAAAGTAAAAATTATTTGACCTTTAATACAGTTCATAATATAATTAATGAATATTTGACTAGATAGGAAAGAGACGTAAACAGATAAAAGAATTTTATAAATATTTTTCATCCAAGTCTCACAATTTAGATTGGTTTCAAACATAAAAGCAAAGTGAAACTCTTATTTTTATGTACATTTCTTTTAAAACAGTTGAAAATAATTTTAAATTCATTTTTATTTCAATTGAAAGAACTTAAATAACTATTTCCTAAATCTATTAAAATGGAAGGAAATTAGATGCGATTTTTGTGCTTTGATAATACAATAAATCTGATATGCAGTACATAAGCTCATATTTAGACATAAAGATTTTGAAGTAAATAAATCAAATTGTGATTTTTTTTTCAAATTTAATTTTGCTATATTTGTGACGTTCAGTACTGAAATTCAAAAATTGGTAATCTAGTAAGCTTCACAATATTGTAAAATGATTAATAATTCTTAATACGAAGTTATTTGATCAGAAAATAAATATCAACATACAATATATATCCAAATTTAAAATGTATTAGTTTAAACATAAAAATAAGATAAACCTCATGCAGTAAACTGATTGAACCGCAATATTTTGAAATAGTATGGTATGACACGCATTTGATTTTAGTAGAAAAAATAATTATTTGGAACAATACTTTTATAATTTACAAAAAACTTCAGTCATCGACACATCCCTATATGCTATTATTTATTCTGTTTCAAATTAAACAAAAATAAACGTTTTTATTAAGGAATAAGATATTTAAATAAATTCTGGTTTTCAAAGATTTTCTTTTGCCAATCTTAAAGAATGAATACTTAAAATGACCATAATACAAAATTAGGTATTTAATAAAAGAATTTTTTATGTCACATTTAAATGAAAATCGTTTGAAAAAATTAAGAAGAATGATTAAAAACAAGTGTTTGACTGACGCAGAATTTTAAACCACACACTTGAATCGTTTTTAGCCTAAAAAACAGACCTGAACACCTTCTATTGTGTTACAGCTACCCTGTTTACAATATAAATGTATCATCAGTTTTAAAGAAAAATAGTAATGAACTAAAATGTCAAACTTAAAGATGCCAACATTTAAAAAGTTTTTTTTTTTTTTTTTTTTTTTTAATGAATGGGATTTTGTACACTTTACTATTTTGTAAAACAAGATTTGAATTCTGATACAGCTGAGTCCACAAATTTGAGCTAAAGCAATTTGAAGCACCATTCATCAAAATGGCTAACCTTACCAAAATAAGAAACAGAACACATTTTCCAAAACCAAGGACATAGCATTATAAATGAAAAATTAAATAAAAATAAGTCAATACAAATTGAATTAATCTTTTAGCTATACTTCTTATATCTCAAAATGTACAAATATGCTTAAAAGAATAAAATATTCAACATTCTTTTTTTTTATTTTTAAAAGAGTCAAAAGAGTTATTTTAAAAAGCAATCAATACTTTTACTGAAAATAAGGAGTTTTCTTTTTTATTTAACAATCAATAAGCTCTCCAAATCTCACAATCTTTTTCTCTTTTTTATTCATTTCTTTTAAAAGCTGAATGAAGACTTATTCATTTTCTTCAAATTATGCTCTATTTATTTAAAATTGATTAATTTTAGAGGAGTCTTTCTTTCAAATAATAATAACAGAAAAATAAAAAAAATCTGGAGATTTTAATACAGAAGTTTGGCACGTTTGCCTCGTGTATATTTTGGAGGAAAAAAAAGAAAAAAAGAAGGGAAGCAATTGCTTACACTTAACATTTTGTAAACCAAGTGAATACACGATATTTTATCTTAATAATGATTATTTTAATATAGTTTTGTAACGTCATTGAATCAATTGTATCATATAAAGCATCAATGAGCAAAATATCACAATAAAAAGAAAGTTTATCAATTAGAATATTCCACAAATATCTATTATTATATAATCAAAATTGTTTACTCTAGAAAATAAAGGCAATATCTGAAATCAAGGTTTGGTAAACTACATGAATATCTTTTAAAAAAAAAATATAATTGGAAGCATGTATGCATTAAAGGATCACAAAAAAACTTAACAGGAAGTGATGGACATTTAAGATAATATCATGAAATCACAAAAGGAAGTCATCAATAGATATTGCCTAGGTATATTTCCTATGAATCCATATAACTTATATTATAGAGTTGTAAAAACAATATATTTCCTTCATTAATACATTACTTCACATTCTGCAATATTTTTAAAAGGAGCAAAATAAAACAAAGGAACAAAGTAATTAGGAAATAAATTCTACCAAGTGTCAGTTATATTAACTCAGATGGCAGGGAACATATTACAAATAAAATATGTTTTGGAGTGGATGTGTAAAGATTCTAATCTAATTGTTAGCTATGCTAAATTCATACCAGAAAAAAAAATATGCAAACATTTTTGAAGTGCATACTTTATCAAGAAAACAAATATTTGAGCATGTTAAGATTTGATTGTGATGCAAAATTTATATTTCAAAATGCAATAAGCTAAATTAATTAATCAATCCATAAAAAAATAAATATTAAAATAAATCCCAGTTTAGAAATTGGAAAATGAATTTTAATAGTTGGCATCTCTGCAATATTTTATAACTTAAAAGTACAATTTATTATCAATAAAATAAATTTTATAATCAATATATATATATAAAATTGTTTGAACTGTACAAGCAGACACTTTAAACTTGTAAATATATGTATATATAGCTAATTGAAGACTTGCCAGCTACACAATACCTTTGTCAGAGTAGCGGTATTCCAGCATATCATCCTCAACTAATATAAGCAGCATGAAAAAGAATTTGCAAATATATTAAACAATATTATTCAAAAACACTTACAAAAAAGCAATGTCACATTTCTTAAAAATACTAGATCTAATGAAAAGCAAAACAAATGAAATATATAAACAAGGTGAATATGCTTTACAAATGAAAACATACTTATTTTTATTTTACTAAACAATTATTTATAATAATGAATGAAAATGATAAAAAGTGAAAATGAATAAAAGCATTTATTTCTAAGCGAAAAATTTGAACATTTCTAACAAAACTCTTGAAACAGGACAAATTTAATGTATTCAAAAGCTAACGTTAATAAAATATTCAATTTGTTAGATGCATGCATCTATCTGAAAACACTACATAGATTATAATACAGAAATTGGAAAATAACAATTTTCATGCACTTCACTCAGATTTGATTAATAGCTTTTATGAGAGATTTCAATGTCTAAATTATAAAAAAGTAAATTTTACTTTTTATTTATTTATTATAATTATTTTAATTGTTATTATAGTTTCATTTCAAATAATACATACTGTTATTGTGGTATCAGTATATCTTTTTATAATTTACATTAGTCTAAGAAGTAGATCTCTAGTCATTTTCTGTTACTTTACTCTAGTTTTCTTTTTTGGTAAGGCATAACATAGAAATAAAAAGACTAAAAACTAATCCTTTTAAGTCTAATGTTCTGAAATTTACTGGCATTCTATTGCCATTTAAAATATTCAATCATAGATTCTTCATGCTATCTTTACAGTCAGTAAGCAAATTTCCTAAATCGACAATGATAGAACTTTGGTTCTAATGCGAGAAATTACGCAATGTAATATTGTTTAGTAATTTCAACAACACACTTGTCTTCAAAACTTTTTGATTAAATATATTAGAAATTTTTTATCACCCAACGCTACACCAATTCATTTTTATTTAATATTGCAACATTTTTGCAAGATCACAGACAAGTTTTATCAGCCATGGGCTCATAAAAATAATTTGAGTATGAGGCTAAACATTAGAAATTTCTAATCTTAAAACAATCTCGTATCATTAAAGTATTTCAAACCACTAAACAATTAAAAGCATATATATGATTAAAATATTTTAAAATAAATTTTCACAGTGCAAAATTAAACACTAAACAACATTAACAAAAAATTCACATGGATTTCCCATAGCAGCACGAAAAGATTGAGAACTACCAGAAATTTCTGGAGGTAATGTTTCCAGCCGAGGCATTGGCATATCTTGTGTGACATGTGTGTTGGCACTACGATCACTACCACTACTACCAGCTCCACAATCTCCAGGATTGGCAATGATTCGACGTATACTCCTCTGGCTGGCTACTTCCGAGTCACTACCTCCTGGGCTTCCAGATTTCCTGTCCTTATCATGTCCGCCATTACTACTGCCACCTATTAAAAAGTATTTAGAATGTAGCAAGGTTAAGACAATTTGAAATTACAAATAGAAACATTACATATATAAGTGTGAAAATCAACAAGTTTAAATACTGTAAAGTAGAAATATTAATAAAATAACTCTTCAATTCACTACTATCCACTTTTATTTCTATACTATTCTGTTCTACTATATGCTAATCAAGAGACAAGTTCTTTAAATTAATGTTACTAAATTGCAGGTTAAACAAACTATTTAAAATATCTTTCAATCACAGTTATAAACAAGAGCTTGTTAACACTATGAAGTATAAGGTGACTTTCTTTTCTCAGTTCAAACTACTTATAACAAATTACTTTGTGTTTATTTATATTTCATTAACATGCTACCAAGATTTGAATTTTTTTTATTAAATTTTTTAAAATTTCAAATTTACTTCTGGTGTCTAAAGTGAATAATTATTCATTTTTAAAAATCAGCCTTGTTGCATATTGTTAGTAGCTTTTCAAAACAAACAATTATTCTAGTTAACAGGGCCTTAAATTTGGGTCATTCTGTGGGGTCAATTGAAAATTGTCATAGCACTCTGAATTGGTAAAAGTTTCAGCATATTTATTAACACACTATATTCACACATATATCTACAGCATTGTTTCTCAACCTTTTTGGTCCTTTGACCAATAAGAAAACAAAAGCAGGGATGAGAGTAGTCAGAAAGTAAAAAAGAGGAAATCCAAGAAGATATATATATATATATGTCTAAACAAAAATTTGACAGAAAAAGTGCGATTTTTAAACTTGTAAACCACGTGATTATAAATCCCGATATGAGGCTTTTAAATCACGTAAATATGAAACTCTACATCGAATTTAAAAAATGCGAAAATACAAATCATGATGCGTAATTTTTAGATCACGATACATAATTTTTAAATCGCGTGATATTACAGCCGCAAAAACGAATCACGACATTGGATTTCAAGCTCGCGTGAATACGAATTGCTACATGGGGTTTTAAAAGCTCGTAAATAAAAATCGCGATGTTGACTTTTTAAATCTCGTAAATAAGAATCGCAATGTACAATATTTAAATCGCCTGAATTAGAATCGCATCGTTCAACTGTTAAATCAGGCAAATACGAAAATCGATGTTTGATAATAAAATCGCGATTTTAAAAATGCATAAATACAAAACACGATATTGGATTTTTAAATCTCGTAAATAAGAATCATAATGTAC